TGGGTATGGAATATTTCCTATGTAAGGTAGGTGTGGTATGTATGGCATGTATGGTTGCTATTGTATGTATGGTAGGTGTACGTAGGTGTGGTAATTACATTTCATATGTATGGTATGTATGGTATGTATGAAAGATATGATAGGTATGGTATGTTCGGCATCATTGACATGTATGGTAGGTACGGTATATGTTAAACACAGGTAGTGTTGTCAGAGTACACAGGTAGTAAATAGGAAGTAGATACAGTAGATACATAGCACATGTATATATGACTATAGGTAGCACGTAGGTACTTTGAAGGAGTATGTGTGCTACGTAGGCCGCCTAAAAGGTAGCATGTATCTAGTAAATGCGAGGCTGGTAGTCAGAAATGCTGCAAAGACCTAGCAAATACGCAGCTGGACCTCAGAAATGCTGCCAATAGCTTGCAAATAGGAGGGAATTGGGGCTGCTACCTGGGGACCCAACCCATGGGGGGGGGGGTGGAGAGACGGAGGACGGGACCATATATACCAGCACCATGAATCTTATGGGTTATAAAACAGCTATAGAATCCCAATTCTGTTGCTTCAATCACCATCTCCTCACAGGACATCCTGGCTGTGGAAGACTTGAACTGCCCCAATCTGGGTGTTGCAGCGCTGCTGGCCATTGAACCCGTGGTGTGGCAGCATGCATCGTGGCAAAAATGGCTTGGAAATTGCCCAAACAGATGGAACATCAGCATTTTTCATGGGAAAATTCATGAAAATTCAATGGTGATTTGAACCAGAGTTATGTTAAATTTGTTAAATTACCAGATGGTAGATGATTCAAGTTGATGATTTATATTGAATACTTTTCTGAAAAAAAATCCACATAGCTATGGAATCCATGGTCCATATATGGATGATCTACCTATATATATATATATATATGCATACCTATTATATAAATCCTCTAAACATGGTGATGGATTGCAGTTCAGTATGTTGGATTACCAGAGGGTATAAGGATTCAATGGACATATATACTGTATATATAATATATATAATATATATACTGTATATATATCTATATATGTATGTATGTATGTATGTATGTATATATAGATATGTACATATATATATATATATATTCATGTATATTCTACTTGTCAAGGACAGATAATGAGTGATTATTGGGTTTGGTGTCTTAAAATGGGGTACCCTCAAGTGATGGCCGCAGCCGTTTTGGCAGAGAAGTTGGTGGTGTGAACTCAATGGTGTAGTGTAGGGTAGGTTGATGGGTGATATTTTTGGTTGTAAATGAGATGATCATTGGATGTGTTTAAGATACGGTTTAAGGGAAAATTGAACCCCGAAACCCCTCTATTTGATGGGAACAAAAACATGGTTTCTCCGGTTAAGATTTTCCCAACTCAAACCAATCCATTGAGATAAATTTCATGCTGAGCCACGTCTTTGTCAGGGATGTTGAAAGGATCAGAGGGATCAGAGCTCCTTTCAACATTGGAATCCAAGGTGACCACCATCAATGAAGGATGTGGATGTTGTGTGGATATGAACTATACCCTCTGGTAAACTAACATAACTATCGAAAATCACATTTTTCAATGGGTAAATCAACTATACATGGCCATTTTCAATAGCTTTTTGTATGTTTACCAGAGGGTACAATGCACATCTGTATCAATGGTTTCTGAATGTCCCGAATCGCTGTTTTTGGGATCATGCAGGGTGTTTCTGCATCTTTTTTTAGGTATGGGTCAAAAGGTCAAAAACCCCTACAAGGTGGTGCCCCCCCAGTGATGTTAGTTGGTTTATAAACCCCATTAACTATATAGTTATAAGTACCATAAACCATAGTTATTGGAGTTGTAAACCAACTTAACTATCTTGGGGGCACCACCTTGTACAATGGATGGTTTGATATTCAAAGCTGCCAATTCTTGTGGGTTGTTGGCACCTTAAATTTGACCCATACACTCAAGCACCAATGGGGTCAAAAGCAACCGGCAACAGCCATGGCTTCACCAATATTACCATGTGTTCTCTTTTTACTACCATATTCAGCAGTGATTGTCCAGTAGTCTTTCCATTGCTGTTTATTCTCGTGTTGGTTCACCACACTTTGCTAATTTACGGATGTTATTTGCATTTCTAGACCCTCCAAGTACCCATACCAATTGGTATGTTCATGTATTTTACCCCATATCTTTTGGTACTTCAACCAATTTTGATGGGCATTTGGCTGGGTCCAGGGGTCCAGGTACATGGCCGATGGGCTTCTCTGAACAAAACATGCCCCAACCGCCATGGCGCCGGTGCCGGTGGTGCCGGTGCCGACGCCGCGACGGCCCCAGGTCTTGGTGGCTCCCGAAACGTCGTCAGATGCGGCCGCAGCCTGGGAGGTACTGGAGCCGCTTCTGAAGGATCTGCCGGAGATACTGAGGAGGGGGGCAGTATACCAAGCCTCTGCAGGATGGGAAGGGAACCAATTTTTTAAGGGGACCCACCATGAACCACCTATGGAACTGGTGATTTTAGAGGTCAATGTTGGTAAAACTGGTGATTTGACCATGAAAAAATGATGATTAAACTGTTCTAAAGATGATTTAATTGTGATTTAATGGGATTCAATGGGGATTGAATGGGGCCCCCAGTCGAGCTCGCGTTCAGAAACGCCTTATTTCAATCGCTGAATTTCAATCGCCCCCTAGTTACAAGTTGATTTATAATCCCATTAACTGTAGATATATCTACCATAAGTCCTACTTATTAGAGTTATAAACCAACTTAGCTATCGACCGGGGGCACCACATTGTGTGGTTTACCAACTTATCACTGGGGGGCACCATCCTGTGGTGTCCACAAGATCTCAACCAAAAAGGCTATCCGATAGCGAGCATCCGACGATTGATCTGGTGCAGTTATGGCCATTTATCAGTTATAACTGGTTATAAGTGGGGTTATACATTCTATAAATGGGGTTATAAGTACTTAAAACTGGTAAAGGGCCATAACTGTGGCAGGTGGATGAAAAACTGTCAAACGTATTGGTTTTCAGATGTCTTAGCATGTTTTAGCCATGATAAGGTGGAAGTATGATTGAGCAATGATGGTTGAGTAGTTGTGATGGATTCTGGGAGAGAATCCATCACAATCTGCTTGCCAACCCCGAACCCAGAACCCTGGAACCCAAAGCTGGGTCAATGCGTTTGTTTCCTGGGAACATCTCGTACATGGTACCCAACCTCATTTAGTGTTCGTTTTCGACTCGCATTTCATTGTCGAACATATTTGAAATGATAATCCTAAATTGATTTATACATTCTCCCATTTAAACCATAGAAAACAGTAAAGAAGTCCATTCTTGTACCATCCTTGCCACAAATTCCATTGAAACGTTCAACCGTTGTTCCACCGTATCTCCAACCGTTCATCAGTTCATCGCCACGGTTTTTGTTGGGATGCGGATCACATCATCAAAAAGCCCATGGCTGATGGCTGGTTGATCCAATTCTTGGTTGATCCAAAATCCCAAAATCACCATGACAAATCACCATGAAAACATATTAATTTAGAATTATTTAGATCTCATTAGGTCCTAATTTTTCGAAATTTTCACCAAGTGTTCATCTTTGCCACAGGAAAGAGGTCCGGGTGCTGCAAAGTCAGTGGGCGGACCTACTGACCGCGCGCGAAGAGATGTGTCGCTCCACCTGTGCGTGTGCTGGCAAAGTGATGGCTGCGAATGCGTGAAAAATGACATCGAAACTGGTGAAACTTGTGAGATATCGTGAGATATTAATGGAAGTTGAACCAACAACAGGGACTTTTATATAATGCGGGTAAAACAATATTAATTCACCAATTTCGGAATGGTTTATACCACCTATTTATGGTGCTTTGGAGGATGTTTTTTTGTTTTACCCACATTAACTAGGATATACTGTAATGGAATAAGTGGGATGTGATTGGATATCATTGCCTATTTAATGAAACTCAATGGAGACGGTTTATGTCATCCCACTGGTGAATAACCCTGGTTAGGAAGTCCCCTTTTTTTCGTGGTTTCTCCCATTTGTAAGTGTGTTACAGCTAGGGCCAGGGTAGCCATGGAACCTCTGGGGATTTTCTGAAGATGTTGTTCCCCAATTGGCCAATCCACCAGAACTGGGTAATCTACAGCGAATTCCCACAAGGTGGTGCCCCCAAGATAGCGTTCAGTTGGTTTATAACTCCAATTTCACTATGGTTTATGGTACTTATAGCTCATAACTATAGTATTCATGGGGTTTATAAACCAACGTTCACATCACCTGGGGGCCCCACAAAACGTAGTGAAAAGGATCTCCGAACTGTTGAAAAACGGTGGATCTTTGCCAGCTTTGCCATGGCGCAACAGCACGCGTGAAACCACAGTCCGCTTGGGACCATCAAAGCACGTTTTGTGGGCCCCCCCAGTGATGTGAACGTTGGTTTATAATCCCATTAACTGTAGATATACATTGTAGATATACAGTATCTACGATAAGTCCTAGTGAAATTAGAGTTATTTGCACCAACTGAACGCTATCGACCGGGGGCACCACCTTACATCACCTTGATCACAGATGTTTGATCGCTACGGTGATACTTGGATGATCCTCGATATTGCTAAATGACGATTACTAGGTCAATCTTGGACGGCTGGAAACTAATCCGACTTAGTTTTTTGGTATCAATAGGATGATCTACTAAGCAGCTGAGAATGAAAAAAATGTTTACAACAACTATTGGAAAAAACAATATATAGGTTGGAGTCCAGAATATTTTGTGAAGCGGACTTGTTATTTCAACCAACGGATCACCTCAACAAGTAGAAGATATTTATTCCACTTCCTTCAGAAGAACTCTAAAACTGACAAGTCCACAAGATCCAATTTTGCGGACATTAATGATCATTAATGTACATCATGTTTTTGACCTGTCAGCAAACCTCACTCAGATTTTATTTTTTGCAAAGTGGAAGCCGCAGGCGATCTGACGTCCATGCCCACGAACTTTGGCTTCAAAGTGCAGACGGATGCGCAATGGTCAGGTGCGACGTCCTGAGGGTCTCCAATTCTTCAGACTTTTTAGACACGGCCTTATAGGTAAAACTATCTCATGTTTTGTGGATGAAATCCACATTTGCTGGTTCGCTTTGAGGCACCAAATTTTGAAAAAGTGTTCAAGTCAGTTGACCCCACAAAACAAGGCTAAACGTACCTTTAATTTGTTGGGGTAAATGGATGTTTTCATGAAATATGATGACATGTGTAATTGATGGTCTGGGTTGACCTTCTCATTTAATGTAACATGGTACTTATTCAAACTACAATATGCCAACAACAATTGCTCCTCTAACTTCTATGGATATGGTTTGGATGTATTGTATCTGATTCAAAGTAAGAATTGATGGAAAAATCTAACAAACCATCTAATCTAAATGAGAATTGCTACAATCAAAGTTAGTATATGAGTTGACTAGCCTAATCCAATATACACATTATCATCTGGATCCATAAATATATATATATACACACACATTTTCACATATATATATATACTTATCTATATGTATGTCTTTCTATCTATCTAATCCATCTATCCGTCCATCTATCCATCTATCCATCTATCCATCTATCCATCTATCCATCTATCCATCTATCTATCTATCTATCTATCTATCTATCTATCTATCTATTTACAGTTATGGCCATTTATCAGTTATAACTGGTTATTTCAGTGGGATTATACATTCTATAAATGGGGTGACTTCTTAGTACTTATAACTGGTATTTCGGGCCATAACTGTATACCATATGGTGATATATTATCATAATGGGAATTACCATATATTCCACATGTTATAGGGGAATTACCGCACCATTTTGTAATTCCGATAATGGTATATGATCTATCTATCTATATATATATATATATATACATATATATGTGTCATTGTTTTTACCGATTGTCGAGCCACGGCCAGGTTTTCAGCCCGCTCCCGCGGAGGGCTCCGAGTCGCAACCGTCGGCGCTGCTGAGCTGCGAGACGGCAGAGGTGGTGCTGTGCGCAGAGAGCGTCACTTGGTGCACGCGTTGCGCGAGGTCCATGGGTGGATTTTAAGCAGATTTCACCATGAAAAGTGGTGATTTAGTGGAATCTAATGGGATCATATGGGATGTAATGTGGTAAAACATATAATAAAACGGAGTTCATTATGATTTCATGGTGTTTTAATAGTGATTTTAAGGGATTTGATGGGATTTTATCAAGATAAATAATAAGTTAAGGGTGATTATACCTGAGGAAGTACTGTAGCAAGGCCTCTGATCGCTCTGGAACGCATGCCGCAAGTACACATTTGGTCTGAGTTATGAGTGGCTGCCTTTGTGCCTCAAGTTGTCTTTGTGCCTCAAGCTGTCTTCCATAACGTTTGACCATTGCAGCGTTCCTTCCGGTACAATGGCAGTGGCACAATTGCCAATAACATAAGACACAATCACAACAATTGGTTGGTTGGTGCAAGTTGGTGGTTTGGAACATTTTTCATTTTTCCATATATTGGGAAGAATCATCCCAACTGACTTTCATATTTTTCAGAGGGGTAGGTCAACCACCAATTAGTATATAGACGTGAGTGGGCACCGACAGTTGGGAATTTTTCGTTGTTCAGCTTGCTGGAGATCACGGCACAGTAACCAAGCTTGTGCAAGACCTGTGACCCAACTGTTGTCCACGCTCCGCCCCGGCGTATGACCGAGTGAGTGAGTGAGTGACTTGAAAATAATGATGATTTCATTTATACTAGGATTTCACCAAGAACTATATATGTTGATTTCATGGTGATTACCCGGGAAACATGGTGATTTATGTTAATCGAAATTCTCCCAGCATTGGGATTTGGATTTGATCAATTTAACCCAACAAATATAGGGACCTCATTTGGATCTGGGAATACATGGCACTCATGGGACATGATTTGAGTTGGGGAAGCTGCTTGGTGTGAAGCAAACACCTATAGGTGATGTGAGGCCTTGCCGAATAGCTAAGTTGACGCGCAGAACTTGCTTAAGGTTTGGGTTGATTAGGGAGATAGATAATGATAGATATAGCTATAATTATGCAATGGGCATATCAACCAACAAACATCATAGCAGGTATATGGGACAATATGCGATAACATTATATAACATTAAGATGGGATTATAATGGGGATTGTATGTGATAAGATTGGATTATATGGTGAAACTTACCACACACAACAGTTTCAATGGATTGTTTTAATTGGGTGACTGTAGTTGCGTACTCAGCCACCTTAGGGAATGTCAAAACGATGTAGGTCCACTGAGATACCATGGTGTCTCCAAGTTAGGCAGCTGATAGCCTCCAGTAAACGAACACAGCTATGGAAAATGGCCATGTAGTTCGATGATTAGCCTACTAAGAATGGCTAAAATGGTGGTTTGGAACATGTTTTATTTTTCCATCTATTGGGAAGACTCATCCCAACTGATTAATATTTTTCAGAGGGGTTGAAACCACCAAACCAGGTATACTCCGTTGATTTGGACGATGCATTTACCAGTGGATGTAGTAGGGAGATTCCTATTTTTTTGGATCTACCAGAGGGTAACTTCCAATTCAATCCCATTTATAGATGATTTTCCTAGATATACACCTCCATGTATCGGTGATTTTACCATGATTTTCCCATAGTTTTTTCCCATTAAAACACATGACAACTATGATGTCCTATGGTTTTCCTATGTATTTTCCATGGTTTTCCCATGGTTTTCCCTAAGGTTTTCCGGGTCCTTGGCCCCGGTCGGCCGGCCCCGCCCAGGCGGAGGAGCGCCGGAGATGGCTACAGGACATCGCCGCAGAACTGCGGCGAGCGCGGGCGCGCTGCTTGCGCAGCTTGGTGCCATGGGAAAAGCCATGGGAACATGATGGGAAAATCACACATGAATATGTATTACTATGTATGTGGCTAATCATGGTTAATAATGGTTAATAATCACTGGTTGGTGATTTGGAACATGTTCTATTTATCATTGAATCATCGTTGGTTACCCGGCCTGGTAAACATACAAAAAACTATTGAAAATGGCCATAGACATAGTAGATTTACCCGTGAAAATCCAGGTGATTTTCCCATCAGTGACGTAAACGTTTACCAGAGGGTATGTATTTTCTCAGAGTGTTACGATTGGTGGAATGATCATCCACTTAGTAAACTAATTAGTACATTAAATTACATTAATAGATATCTGGAGGCTGGTTTTGAACATGGCTGATTTTGTCCAAGTTGGGAATCATCACTGACGAAGTCCATGATTTTTGGAGGTTTGATGCTGCCCCAATGTGCTCCAGTTATACCATCAATTCGAAGGTGTAGAAATAGCCCAAGTTTTTAACAACTCCATCCATACAGTCTGAGAGTCTCGGTGTTTGGACAAGGGATTTCGTACCAGGGATTTCGTGGGAATACAACTATAGATATATACATATACAATTATATATATATATGTAAAACCAAATAAACCAAATACAGGCAACAAATATAGTGTTGAATCCCATGAAATCCATGTAAATGTAAATAGTTTTTTTAAAATTTGTATATAGATAAACCTAGGGTCAAGGTACTTTTTAGCCCACTAAATCCTCAAGACATGGGCTTCTATGGGATGATTTTTATAAAATGTGTTTTTTTTCCCATGGGAATTGAATGGAAACACGGTTAAATAACTTATATTATACTTATATTCAGCTGGCCCAGCAACCAGCTGTGGATTTCATGCGGGTGAGATATTCAGCTGGCCCAGCGAACCGGCTATGGCATGCCCTTGGACCAAGCCTTGGCCAGAGCCAACAATTGGCATCGGGAGATGGGTTATACAACTACCCGCGATCGCCGACGGCAACTGACCGTGGTCATGATCGCCACCGGTCCTGGTGGCAACTGACCGAGTTTCTTTGCAGGCAGAGGGGCGTGCAACTGGAGTGATACCTAGGCGACCAGCCGGGTTGATTCGTGGATAGACCTGGGGTGAATGTGAAGCAACTGATCAGTGGCATATATTGTGATACATATTGATACACGACCCTATGCTTTGTGATGTATATGTCGTGACGTGAGTTGATATGTGATCAGTATGTATATATACCTATATACTAGGTATTGTGTTTATGCAATCTCAAAGAGATACCTGGAAATCTTCCAAGTATCCATGAATATGAATTTCTTTTGCGTGAAACCATTGAGGTTATTACCTATGTCTCAGAATACGTCTTCTGAGGGTCTTTAGTAGGTTCCATGTGACATCGCCAGACTCAAAAAGCTGACATCACTGAGGCATGTGCCCAGCAGTGAGAACAGAGGACTTGATGTCTATGGGATTTCTCATTGGTGGGCCATGATTCGTTGGTGGTATGTGATATCGTGGTAAGATTTTGTAAGTGGAGTATAACTCTAGCCAGTTATTTGTGACGAAAAGACCACTCAGGAAAAGACCACTGACCTTGTGACTGGGAAAAAAAGGGTTTTGAGTGTGTGTTTTTCCTGTGTATATGGTTGATGTAGACCCCCCGACCCCCACCAGTTGAATCACACTGGCCCGCCCAAGAAGAGAACATGTCACTGTTCACATGTGTAATAATGAAGTTATAACTAGATTAGACATTATCGAAATAATCATTATTTCTAGTTGATTTCTCAGTTACCATCTGGTTATGTAACATAGCCATGGAAAATGGATGAAAATGGCCCATTCACAGATGGTTTTCCCATTAAACCTCCATTTATAAGGGATTTTCCATGGCTACGTTAAATAACCAGAGGGTATATCTAGATATGTTGCCATTTATCGTTATACATCACTAGATATGTTGCCATTTCCCATTGATTTCCTCCCTTTCTTCAGGACTGGGGGCACGAGGCACTCTTGGCGGAAGGCTTGCAGAACGAACACAACGCCAACCGCTACGCCCTTGCGTTGCAGGCCATAGCTGGATCCACCGCTGATTTCGCGGTATTTCCACCAGTTACCTTCTGGTTATGAGTAACATAGCCATGGAAAATCACCATTTTTAACAGGTAAACCATCTATTTCTATGGGTCATTTTCCATGGCTATGTTAAATAACCAGATGGTAATTGGGGGTTTTGATGTCACCCAGATGCGAACCATGGTGCTGGAATATTGACCTACATTTACCCCAATTTTATGGCCCAGTTATGTAGGTACATATTCCAGCACCATGGAGCATATTGGTTAACAATCCCAATAAAATCAACAGGGAGATTGATAGCAAAATACAGCCATAATAATCAGCTACAAATTCTGGTTTATTGTTGTGGATCTTCCATAGATGAGCCCGTTTCAGCTGATCTGATGGAACATTCAACAGTGAAACAATGTTCTCAGGTTGATCATGGGTTGCGGATAGAACGCTCGAATTTGAGATGATGCAGCATGATGCATCCATATTTCTGAAGTACCAATGTGGAGAAGTCACTAGTACTGTATGACGCTTGGATTCATTGCTTGGTGATGGACATCATTTTGTTTACATCATTGGGGGTGCAATAGTCATAGTGGAAAGTCTCGCCAGTGGTTCTTCTTTTCAGCCAATGCCGTTCATATACTGGATCATTTGGTGTCCAAGCACGTACTCCACACTTTTGGCCCTTTGCCAGTTATAAGTTGTGTGGTCAGTTACAACCCCACCTATAACCATATAAACAACTTGGGTTTCTAGGGCTTTCTGCAAAGTATGGATTTGATATGTTGCTTGAATTGTGTTGGTTATGTTTCAAGGCTCTAAAGTCTAAGGTGCTGCATGGAGCTCCCAAACATCAGCCAAGAGGTCCAAAGTTGATTACCTCAAAGGTGAAGTAGCTAGGAGAAGTGCTGGGTTCATGGTGGATCTATGCGTGTGTCCTCCACATTTGGCCAATTTGATAGGGATAATGAATGAACATGATGATTAACCAGTCGATAGAAGGTTTTTTCCCAACATCTTCAGACAAACCCATACAATATATCTATAGAATGAATGCTGTGAACATGAAGCGACCATAACGAACATAAACCTGGGGGAATGACCAACCGTAACCAGATGGGCAGCGGTACGACTGAGGCTGCGATTGACCGAATTTCGGACCAGTCGCAGTGAAAAAATGCCCTGCTGGTGCCGGGAATGGCCGGAATCCAGGGTTAGACGCTATGGCTATGGCTATAAACTTGGTGGACCCCCCAATGGATGGTTCAATGTGGGGCCCCCCAGTTGTAAGTTGGTTTATGAACCCTATTAACTATAGTTATAAGTACCATAAACCATAGTTATTGGAGTTATAAACCAACTTAGCTTTCTTGGGGGCACCACCTTGTTGAATTCTAAAAATGAGCCTCAACCAGCCACTTTTTTCGCCGCTCATGTGGTACCAGGGAATCCATGGGTCATGTTTTTTGGCCGACAATGACCATGTTTGGTCAAGAGTTGGTAAATGTGTCTTGTTTTTTTTCCCTCAGATTCACCTGATGGTGATGATCATGCAATTTTTCGACTGGTGGTTGGCCCAGGGTGATGTAACATGATGATCATGATGTAACGATCATCCAATCCCATGGACCCAGATGTTCTAAGTTCATTCATCTAATTTTCCCTTCCATTTTCTGAAGACAATCTGAAATGTGTTGGTGAACTTTCCTTTTTTGGAACTGTAAATTGAACCGAATTGAAGCAATTTCTATATATATATATATATCAGCAAAGACTACAATAAGCAGCTAAACATAGCTAAACAGTAACTAACTAAACTACAGTAACCAACTAAACTATCTACAGTGACTATATAGTCGAACTGTACTCCTACACTAACTAACCAAAGATGGTCCAAGGTCCATGAATGTGACGACCGTCGACCTGGCACGGGTCTTTCGTCAGGGCACTTAGCGAGCGAGGAGATGCGGTTCCGGTTTCGGGCTGTTTTGTGTGTCTGCAAAATTGGGGATTGGTCTCTTAGTCATGGCCATTCTGATATATATATATATAATATATATGTACAAGGTGGTGCCCCCGGTCGATAGCGTTCAGTTGGTGAACATAACTCCAATAACTATAGGACTTATGGTAGATATATCGAACTAGTTCATGGGATTATAAACCAACTTATAACTTGGGGGGGCACCACATTGTATGTATGTAAGATTATATAAGACATATCATATGGGGATGGTGGGGTCTGACCTTTAGGCGAGTTGGTTCCCTTTTGCTAAAGCAGCCCATTGTTCACCGGCACTTGAACCGCACATGGCGAGGTGACAACATCCAACCGGATGATGTTGTGGCGGCGGGTCTCAGCCGTGGTGGAGAACTCCGAGAACGTGTCGTAGTGGACAGGTGGAGAATGTATCCATTCGAGTTTTATATGAAAGTTAAAATATTGGCATAACTTTATAAGGAGGATTCATCCAATTATTATCCAATCCAATTATTATCCAATGTTTATCCCATATTGGCGTAACAAGAATCTGTTTGTTACTATTTCATGTTTGCTTATTCTTTTCATGATGAAATAGGGGGCCATCCAGGATGGGTAAGTTGGTGGCAGCGCCAAAACTCACGGCCGCCTTCATTTGAAAAGGCTCTAGGCCCAAAATGTTGCTAAACCAAAGTTGGAGATGGAGGTGTTTTATAAACTGATCTAAAATGGTGGTACCCCCAAACCATCCATGTTCTGATTTTCCATGACCATCCAGCTCTTTTTGGATACGAAACCAGCTATTGGGGATTCCCTCCGAAAAATTCATCCCACAAGACACTTTGGCAACGAACCGTGCAATTCGCAGTCCTGTGGCCTGCGAATCGCCCTAAACATCGTGGTGCAGTAGTTGCGAGGGTGCCAACAGTTGGCGAAAAAAAATCATCGTGGTGCCTCAAGTCCGGTTTGAGATGGGTTTCTCCAACTTTTCTAAAGCTTTCTGTGCACCCAAAAAAAAACGTGGGCCACATGAGTTCCAAGCATCGCAGATCTCAGGTGATGCGCATGGATTGTGAGGGTGCAGAGTATGAACTCCTGAGGCGGATTTGGTATGATTTGGTGGCATTCTCCCTGTCAGAAAGCTACTTAGATGGGCCATGGGATTTTGCCGATTCCTGGTTAGTAACTGGGGATTAACTAACCCTCAACAAATCCCAATGAAATAATCCATGGCTACTAAGTATAGTTTTCCCTAACTCCACGGCCCATCTAAGTACCACTATTGGGGATGGTCAAAAAACATGCATGAATTTCGGTCAGGAAAGTCATGGGCATGGTAACCATGGCAGCCTTCCGCGTTTAAAAAACGAAAACGATCCCTTCCGTCGGTACGGATCTATTCCTTTTATATTGGGATGGGATTGCTCCCACCATGCAAAGACCCGAGGCTGCTGAAAAAAATAGATCAGTTGGGCATATGGGTGAGTAGATCAGAGCCGGCTAAACATTTGTTTGCATTCAGTAGCTCAGATTGACCCCGTGATCATTGGTTCTATCTCATTTGTTCTTTCAATCCAAGGTTTCTACTGGTTCAATATCTAAGTTGTTGCATGTGTGTAGTTCTAACATAAATGAATCCCCATTCACATGTATGAACCACCATTGTTGTTAATAGATGTTATAAAGTACCTCTCATGTACCTCTTTCAATATATATATATATTATTATTGTTATTATGAATTATTATTATTATTATTATTTATTATTATTATTATTATACACCCATATTTAATCTAATCATCGCGTTAGAATCCATATTAGGGTCTATCAACATCTATTAACATATGTTAACATATTTATATGAATATACAGTACATAGATTAATTGATATATAAATATATGAATATATATATATATGAATATATATATATTGTTTTTGAATTTATATATATATATATGGTTTTTGAATACATATATATATAGTATATTATATATATACTAACATACATTAACATATCTTATCATCTATTTATTAGCCACCATTGTTAGTTCTACCTTTAGACATCCATGGCTGTCTCAGGCATTTGTTGCTTCATGGATGGCTGTGTCGCCTGAGACGACTGTGCCGTGGGCGGGGTTCATGGTGGGTAGATGGCTCGGCATAGCTTGGCAAGACGGCTTGCCTATGGTGAATTAATGGGAAAACCATGGGAAAACCATGAAAATGTGGGAAAATGAAGGTTTAATAGCGGTTAATAATGGTTAACAATGATCATCAATGATTATCAGTTGTGATTAATCGAGGTTTACCCTCTGGTAAACGCTTACATAACCATGGAAAGATCCACCATGTTTAATTGGTAAATCCAATGTAAATCCAACTATTTCTATTAATTTCTATGGCAATTTTCAATAGCTAATATCTATACAGCAAAATGACAGAGGCTTCTGACTAATATCTATGACTAATGCATTTTAATGACATAGATGGATGATGATCTATGATTCATAATGATCTATGAAATTCTGTAAAATGAGGCTATGACAATGGAGACCACGGCAAAAGTGTCCCCATTTTGGAACATATGTTTTGTTGTTTAGTTTCATATGTGTTTCATATGTTGGCAACAGATGCGTTTCATATATGTGTTTTTCATATGTTGGCCAAGCGGAATTTGAGTCAACAAGTGGGATACTCCCACAAGGCTCTGAGCCATGAGGACCCATGAGACTGCGGAGGGGAACGACAACAAGCTCTTGGTTTAAAAGTTGTTTTAGCTGAAACAATGGGATTATTTACTGGTTGGTGGTTTGGAACATTTGGATTATTTTTCCCTTTTCCATTCAATTGGGAATAATAATCCGAACTGACCTTCATATTTTTCAGAGGGGTAGGTATACCACCAACCAGTTCAAGTATACAAATGGCTGTGATTTAAGTATGCAAATGGCTGTGGTAAAACCACAATAAACCATCCTCAAATCGCCATTTCTATCGGTGCTATCAACCCCAATTTCCAACTGACCTATGAAAGTGGGGCCCCCCAGTGATGTTAGTTGGTTTATAAACCTCATGAATACTATAGTTATTTACGTACCATAAACCATAGTGACATTGGAGTTATGTTCCCCAACTGAACGCTATCATAAACCAGCTATAAATCCCCATGGAAATCCCCATTTTCCCATGGTTTTCCTAGGATTTTTCCTATGGTTTAGCCCCACATTGTATGAACATGGGAATGATTCCACTGACCATGTTTCTCGAGTGGCGAAAAACCAGCCCTGAACCGCTTCAGGTACTTGGAGGCCCCGTTGCGATCCAGGGGCAAGTCTTGGAAAGGTACTCTCTGGTTACGTCAACAGTTCGCTATTGAACATGGCCCAGTCGAAATAGTGGATTTACCCATTGATAGCATGGGGGGATTTTCCCATGAGTTTTTGGTTAACGTTTACCAGGCCGGGTAATTTTTCACATAGCGATGGACAGAAAACCACTTTAAACAAAATGATTTTAAGAGGTACCATCTGGTTATTTAACATAGCCATGGAAAATGGAATATTTATAGATGGTTTACCTATTAAAAATGGTTATGTTCCATGGCTATGTTAAATAACCAGAGGGTATATCATCAGTCTAATCATCGAAGTAAATGTACCATGGCCATGTTTGACTACCTGCTGACAGGTAAATATGTATATACATATTGGGAATAATTTACTTGAGATATAAAATATATGAGTAAGTATACTATAATTTACCTATACTACCATGCTGACAGGTAAAATATATATATATATATATACATATTTGTTTCGTGAAGGCTGCATGGGTTTGTCTGAACATGAAGAAAAAACACCAAAGTGCCTCTAAAAGAATGGGGAAAAGGATGACTGGTTGTGGTTTGGAACTTTTTTTATTTTTCCATATGTTGGGAATAATCATCCCAACTGACTTTCATATTTTTCAGAGGGGTAGGTATACCACCAACCAGTGAACCATTGGGTTTGTCGGGCTCGGTTTGTATCGCAATGGCTACATGAGAGCCAGATTTTCCTGGTGCTTCATCCCACAGATCGTAAGTGAGTTATAACCCTAGTTATAGATGGTATTTTCTTTGGTTAATCAACATGAAAGAAAGTGGGATGAGCCACCAAGGAGACAAGATCCTGATGTTAGCCATGTCTATAATATCTGTTTCAAAGAAGCTAGCCTGCCAGCCCTTTTTGTTGGGGCCGTGGAGCAATCTGGGCCGCTGAAACCTGCTGAGTATGCTGCATCTCATACTTGGAGGAACCTCCACTTTAAGAGTGTTGGCGATCTCATCCAATTATTTACTGATGCGTTACGAACCAGTAACACTCAAGGTCGTCAAATGATCCAATTCCTGGTTGAACTGTATTTTTTCCCTTGCGGGTGTGTCATAAATCTACCCCTCCAAGCTCAGGAGGTGAAGGAAGAGACTCAACTGGGACTATCACTCAATGCTTTACCGTGCTAGAAGGTGGTGCTCCCCCAGCTACAAATTGGTTTAGGTTTACCCCATTAGCTACAATGTGGGGCCCCCCAGTGATGTTAGTTGGTTTATAAACACCAATAAGTATAGTTGTAAGTATTATAAACCATACTTATTGGAGTTATAAACTGACTTAGCTATCTAGGGGGGCCCACTTTGTATAGATGTATCATGATGTATCTACCAGAAATTATGTTGTTAATCTACTTGCAAACCAACTTAGCTAATACACTGGGGCACCACCTTGTATTATTTGCTCCTTCTCTGCCCTGGAATGTCTTGACAATCAACCCTAGACTCATCCCAATTTTGAATGAGCTAATGCCAAGAATGTAGGATGCCAATCCATGACCTCACCAGGCGCATGCTATGAGCCAGCCGAAGCTGAACAAGTTCCGCGACGACCTTTCTCTAACATGGTGATTTTTTGGGATCTAATTGGATATGGCTATGGGTCAATACCTATAGATACATTTTAGTGGGATGAACATCCATTTACCAGCTATTTTGGGGTGAACAAAAGGGGGATAGGGTTTTGACCCATCCCTATATAATGAGATATCTGACATATGTCAGCTGTACTGTCCGAATGGAGCCAGTTGGAGCATGTTGGAACCACGAATTGAGCTACCCATCTTTGATAGTTTCAATCAAGCAATATTTGATAGGGGGCTTTCATGAGGTACTTGGTGGCTCATCCCACTTTGTAAGTTATGATCCCAGATAGTAGGCTAAGTAGGGTTAGCCCAGTTATAACAGGGTCATAACCCACTTAATTGAGATGAGCCACCGAGGATAGTTGGGATTTGATACTTGGTGAATCAAGAAAATCATCATGAATCATTCAAGAATGTTCACTGTAATTCAATCCACCATCCCATTGTTAGAAGATTAGAAGTATCCCTATTTTCATTAGTATTATTGGGATGATTTTCGATTTCATTGAGACTTAAAGTAGTTTAAGTGGAGATATTCGGATTTAATAAACAATCCCAACAATCATCCCAATAATCATCCCAATAATCCCAGGATTATAAATCTACCCCCGGTAAATATCGTTGGGATTTGATCCTTGGTGGAAATGATATGTTGAATACCCTCTGGTTATTTAACATAGCCATGGGAAATGGCCCATTTATAGATGGTTTACCTATTAAAACTGGTGATTTTCCATGGCTATGTTAAATAAACAGATGGTAATTCAAACATTTTCTACTAATGTGGGCCCCCCCAGTTATAAGTTGGTTTCTAAGCCCCGTTAACTATAGTTATAAGTATCATAAACCAATAAACCATAGGTAGCAGAATTATAAACTCAAACCAACTTGGCTAGTGGGCCCCACATTGTATAATTCGACCCACCATCCCTTAATCATTGGATTGGTTTAAGGGAAAACTTATGTATTTTCCATGGAAGAAACAAAAAACATGGTTTCCTTTAGATTTTCCCTTCAACCAATCCATTGACAGTTGTGGAATTATAATTCCTATCACTTGCAGGTTCTCTATCATTATATAATTACATATAAACCCATTTCTTCCTATATATTCAATATATTCCTATATGAGCTACAGCCAAAAATGTAGCTTAATGGAGAGTAGTATTCGAGACATCTTTATTTTTTGGTCATTGAGCTGGGGCATGGAAAACGAGAATACACTCTTCAAAAACGATAACATTTGCTTATATACCAAAACCTGAAAAACGATAATACACTCTTCAAAAATTAATGACTTGGAGCTATATACCAAATATTGACCTTGGCCCATATATTTCCTGTTTAATTCCTATATAATTCCTATATATTCGTACATAACTCCTATATATTCGTACATAATTCCTATATATTCGTACCTAATTCCTATGTATTCGTACATAATTCCTATATAATTCCTACATAATTCCTATATAATTCCTACATAATTCCTATATAATTCCTACTTATTTCCTATATAGTTCCTACATAATTCCTATATAATTCCTACTTATTTCCTATATAGTTCCTACATAATTCCTATATATTCCTATAAACCCATTTTATAGCAGTTAGTTGGGCCCTGTAATCCCCAACTTGCCCCAAACGCCCCAAACGCCCACCCAGGTTTCGCACCTTCGACGTGCTTTTGCCTTGGCTGCTGGAGCCCTGTGAAACCGAGGTGCAGCGCCTTGGGTTTGGCGAGGTCATCGACCAACCATTGGGGCTTTCAATCTGTTAATAAAAAGGGTGATTTTAAAGGTTAATAATGGTTAATAGTGGTTAATAGTGGTTAATGTTACTATATATATAATTATATATAACTATACTATACTGGTTGGTGGTTGAAAAAACATTGGTTTAGTATAGGGTAATGATGGTTAATCATGGTTAATCATGGTTAATAATGGTTAATAATCACTGGTTGGTGGTTTGAAACATGGCTTTTATTTTCCATGATATATCGGAATACTCATCCCAACTGACGAACTCATATTTTTCAAGATGGTTAAAACCATCAACCAGAAATAATGATTTTACCAGCAATGATAGATGATCCTGCAAACATCACTTTGATTTTATCGGCAACGATGATGTTAGCTGCAAACATGGTGATGTTTACATAGTGATACCAGCCAAAAGTTTTTTTTTTTTACCGGCACTTGTGATTTTCCTGAGTAAAGGTCGAGGATTTCGGATTTCACCATCAATTTTGATAGCTAAGTTGGTAGCGAATACACTGGGATTAGCGACCTGGCACCGGATGGGTTCAGATCTGCTACACATGGGAATAACATAAAGGGGGGTGTTCTAAAATATGGGGACCCCAAACCACTGATTTTCGCATTGATAATGACAACCAATTTTGGATCATTTGGGGTCCCACATTTTTGGAAAACCACCATATTGATCCATTGGGCTGAACACATGGTTTTTATCGAGTATCTACAAGGTGGGGGGCCCGGTCGATAGCTAAGTTGGTGAACACAACTACAAGAATCAGGGATAACCAGAGTTGATTAGGGGGCTGTATCGAACTATAGTTAGATGGGGATACCAACCGACAAACATAACTATAAGGTGAGGCCTCCCGAGTTAGTTAGTTCAAAACAGTTTGTAAGTTTATAAAGTCATGAACTATAGTTAGATTCCCCATCAGCCATAGCTAGCCAAGTTGTAAGTCAACTTAGCTAGGAAACATAACCTTATAGGGGACTTCTCGGGGTGTATGTTGGGGAAATGGGGAAATCCATAGTTGTCGATTGATACGACCCGGAGGATCATTCCATCTAGTAAGTGATCCATTTTTGTGGTGTTAGTTTGCAGAAGTACAACGGGAAACACATGGAAACACAACGAATTGAGGACGAAAAATCACCAGGGTTACGTTACTCAACTTTCTAAGTGAGAGGATCCTCCAATAGTAGGTCAAGGGTCATACCCTCTGGTCACACATAGCAATCAAAAATCCTCATTGGTCCCATCGACTTGCCGCTTTCAGTGTGAGGTCTTTGTGGATACAAATTATCATAGCAGCTTGGACGAAGAACGGAGGAGTGGCTTTGAGACTTTGAAAGGTGAACATGCTAACTATGACTATAGTCAATGGTGTTTATAAACATTAACCAATATTGACCAGACCAGTAGTAGCGCACAAGGCAGTGGCGGAAGTTTCAAAGATAGGACACTATAGGAGAGGTGAGTTGTTGTGATGCATGGATGGCAGAGCGAATCCACTGATGGACCGAAAGGTGGTTGGAGTTGTGTTTTTTGGAGTGGTTGCAATGGTTGCAGTGGTCATCTCACCCACAACTGCTGGATGTAGTGTGCTGTAGCGCAGCTGTAGTTGTAGTTGTAGTGTAGTGGAGTTGTAGTTGTAGTGCAGTGTAATTAGTGTAGTGTAGGCGTAGTTGTAGTTGTGGTGTGGTGTGACGAGTGTAGTGTAATGTAATGTAATGTAGGGTAGCGTGGTGTAGTGTAGTGCAGTGTAGTGTAGTGTAGTGTGCTGTAATGTTGTGTTCTGTAGTGTATTCTAGTGTAGTGTTGTCTAGTGTACTTGTAGCTGTAGCTGTGGTTGTAGTTAGTGTAGCGTGGTGTAGCATAGCTTGGTGTAGCGTAGTGGAATTAGTGTAGTGTAGTGTGATGTAGCGCAGTCGTAGTTGTAGTTGTAGCTGTAGCTGTCGTAGTAGTTGTTGTAGTTATAGTTGTAGTGCAATTAGTGTAGTTTACTGTAATTAGTGTAGTGTAGTGTAATTAGTGTAGTGTAGTGTAATTAGTGTAGTGTCGTGTAATTAGGGTATTAAAGCGTGGTTTATTTGTATATGTATTTGTAGTTGTAGTGGTAGTGTAGTAGTGTAGTAGTGTAGTAGTGTAGTAGTGTAGTAGTGTAGTTGCAGTTTTAGTTGTTGTTGTAGTCGTCGATCGATCGATCTATCGATCGATCTATCGATCGATCTGTCTATCTATCTATCTATCTGTCTATCTATCTATCTATCTATCTGTCTATCTATCTATCTATCTACCTGTCTGTCTATCTATCTATCTATCTATCTATCTATCTGTTTTTCTATCTATCTATCTGTCTGCCTATCTATCTATCCATCTATCCATCTATCCATCTATCTATATCTATCTGTCTATCTATCTATCTATCTGTCTATCTATCTATCTATCTATCTGTCTATCTATCTATCTATCGATCTATCGATCGATCTATCGATCGATCGATCGACCGATCGATCGATCTATCTATCTATCTACCTATCTATTTCATCTATCTATCTCTCTATCTTTCTTTCTTTCTTATCTATCTTATCTATCTATCTATCTATCTATCTATCTATCCCTCTATCCATCTATCCATCTATCCATCTATCCATCTATCCATCTATCCATCTATCCATCTATCCATCTATCCATCTGTCTGTTCGCAAGTTTGAAAACGAAACTAATCTGCAAGACTTCCTCAATTTTTGAACTTGACAACATCAGAAGCGCAGTAATTCTGCGAGACTTCCTCAATTTTTGAACTTGACAACGTCAAAAACGAAGCAACTCTGTGAGACTTCCTCAATTTTCGAAGTTGACAACATCAACAATGCAGCAATTCTGCGAGACTTCCTTCAAACATGGAAACTTTAGTGCAAAGCTGACGGCCTCGTACCAATGCGTTTTGCGTTTTTCCCACTCCATTTGTCTAAAGTGTTGCGCCTGCCACGAAAAGGTGATGCCAGGTCATACGAAGTGCTGCACCTGTCATGCAAAATCATCTTAGCAAACCTGAAGATCTGATGCTCCTAAATGCAACCCCTCTCAGGAAATCAACGCCCTGACCTCCTAACATCTCTGATGAGCATGTCTCTTGTATTGCGCCTGCCACGGAACATGCATCTTTGCAGATCCCCTTCAAATGTCCCACGCCTGCCATCGTTTTTGGAAATGCTACAAAACCCTCACGGTTTGCTCACTTTTGGCAAGGTGCAGAATCCCTTGCGCCTGCCGCGCAAAATGACGCTTCAACGTCCAAAAGTGATGCTTTTAACATTTTGACTTGAGAATGTGCTTCGCGCCACAATGGCGTGCACTTTTTCGACATGTCAACTTCCAAAAGTTTTGAGTTTGAAATGTGCTTCGCGCCACAACGGCGTGCAAATTTTAATCTCTCATCTGGCCAGATGGCTCCGCACCCGCCGCTTTAGCGAGCCTACTTTTCGACCCTCCGGAGCCACAAATCATTTTGGAAAAACGCGGTGAACCGCGACTTTTCTACCATTTCGCGCACCTGCGTCTTCTTTCTTCTGACTCTTTCTCTCCTCTCCTCTCCTCTCCTCTCCTCTCTCCTCTCTCCCCTCTCCTCTCTCCCCTCTCCCCTCTCCTCTCTCCTCTCTCCTCTCTCCCCTCTCATCTCTCCTCTCTCCCTCTCTCCTCTCTCCTCTCTCCTCTCTCCTCTCTCCTCTCTCCTCTCTCCCTCTCTCCTCTCCAAAAAACAAAAAAAAAGCTTCTCTCTCTCTCTCTCCTCTCCTCTCTCCTCTCTTCTCTCCTCTTCCTCCTCTTCTCTCCTCTCTCTCCTCTTCTCTCCTCTTCTCTCCTCTTCTCTCCTCTTCTCTCCTCTTCTCTCCTCTTCTCTCCTCTTCTCTCCTCTTCTCTCCTCTCCTCTCCTCTTCTCTCCTATCCTCTCCTCTTCTCTCCTCTCCTCTCCTCCTCTCTCCTCTCCTCTCCTCCTCTCTCCTCTCTCCTCTCTTCTCCTCTCTCCTCTTCTCTCCTCTCTCTCTCTTCTCTCTCTTCTCTCTCTCCTCTCTCCTCTCTCCATCTCTCCTCTCTCCTCCTCTCTCCTCTCTCCTCTCTCTCTCCTCTCCCTGCTGCTCTGCTCCTTCTCTTCTCTTCTCTTCTCTTCTCTTCTCTTGACTCTTCCCACCTCTGCTTTTCCATATTGTCGGAAGTTTGACTTCTAAACTTCCGTCGATGACTGGGGGGCCTCACTTTGTACAAAGCCTACTGTATACTTGGGGGTGCCGCTTGCGGTTTTTCAATGGGCAGAAACATGATGATTTTACCACCTCCGTAAGTTGAACCCGCAATCAGACTTCCCACTTCCGAGAAGGCATTTGGGACTATTTGAAGATAGCGTCATCCCCCCAAATTTGATAGCTTATCATCGTTTGCTCTTTGCCTCACGGCTCGAGACAATTCTCGGGGTTGTCGCTCCAAGCGTGGACTACTTGTATGCCACAGGGGCGATGGAATCCATGTTACTGAGGCGCGTGGCATTTGTCTCCTCCAAGGGCCTGTTGACGGACCTGCACGGCTCTTGGGATGTCAAAGACATTGAAGGTGTACATGTTTTGCAGATGGGCTTCAATTGGCGTGGCTCCAGGGGCCACAATCGCTGGCTTTCACTGACCATGCCAGCAGGACAGACACAGCCAAAAATGACATCACTCCTTCACGCACGCATCAATTTAAGTTTGCAGGATGCAATTGGGGCACCTGGTTCGGCCCACATTCCAACCAGAACGACTTCGTCGAAGTGAGAGTTGTAGGTCATTTGGTAGGCACGGTGAGCATCTATCGTGCCATCGACGCACAGGGGTGGGGGATGAGTATCCATTCAGACCTTGGGGTCAGTGAAGAACAATCAAATGCACCGGGTTCTTGGCGCTTGATGGGCGCATAGCTTTTGGGCCCAGGAATCGTGACATTTTGAGCACTCGCAAGGGAGCTGCAGTTGCGCAGGGGTTTGTGGATGGAAATTGACTTCCTCGTTCTGCAGCAGGGAATGCCTGGCTTATGATGTGTTCAGGAAGACAAGGACTGAACCTTGAGAGAAGAGAGATTTCAGTTCCACAACGTCCATTTTCAGACACATCCATTTCCCTGAGTCTCGGAAATTAGTAAAAATTACATTTCAAAAATTTAGGTAAATTTTTCGTTTTAGGTGGAAAATTCTAGGTAAATTTTCACCTATTTTTTTTCACCTAAATTTGCACCTAAATTTAGGTGCAAATTTAGGTGTAAATTTAGGATGCAACCTAATTTTTGGGATGTATTTTTTTTGTTTGTTTTTGTTCAAAGAATATGTTATTTGAACATATATTTTAAACATTACGAGATTGGTTTGATGATGAAATTTGATGGGATGTGCTGTGATTTGTGTCGATTTTAGTCTCGCAAATCACGAAATATGATTGAAAAAGAGTTTACTTGTGTTTTTTTTTGTAGCTGTTACTTGTGACTATCCTTGCAGAGTTACTTGTGATGTATTATGATTTTACTGACTCAAGAAAGTTTGAAAATGGTTTAACTGGTGAAAATATCATGAAATCAAGTAGGAGACAGGATACACTGTTGATGATTTAATAAGTATGAAACCAAACAAATGACAAGAGAATAGATTGCAGAGAATCTGTATGATGCTGTTCTTTTCTGGATTGATTGCATATTTTTGGGTTTTCTGATTTAAGTTTGATTTTGGTCTTGAAAGCAGTTTAAGAACTAACATGAAAACTATGTACATTTTATATATTGTTTGTGTATGTCTTTGTTTTGCATGGTATTAATTTGGAAGTAATTATCATGTACCTTCTTTATAGTTTTTAGATATATTATAATATGTAGTTTATAGAATTTATGTGTTTTTTATTTGTAGTTCATATGTATTTTTATGTATTTTTATGTAGTTTATATGTAGTTTATATGTACTTTTTTATGTAGTTTCTATGTAGAATATATGTAGTTTATGTAGTTTATATGTAGTTTATATGCAGTTTTTATGTAGTTTATATGCACTTCTTAAAAGTGCATATAAACTACATGTACTTTTAAGAAAACTACATGTAGTTTATATGCACTTTGGAAAAGTGCATATAAACTGCATATAAACTACATATAAACTACATATAAACTACATATAAACTACATATGCATGTTTGTATTTTCCAACCTTTGTTTATTTTATTTTTGTAATTATTTATCTCTGTTTTTGTTTGTTTTGAGTTTTTAAAATGTTGCTGTAGCAAAGTTTCAATTGCAATATTGTACATTGAATATCTTGAGCACAAGTAACATGATATCAAGTAATGCAAAACTTCAAGATAACAATCATCACACCAAGGAATGCAAACGCTCAAGTAAATTGACTAATCACAAGTAACATGAGCTGAAGTAATTCAATCTCACAAGTAAAGTCACCCAACAAAAGTAAAACATATAAGAAACAACAATGCCCAATATATACTCCTTTTCTCTTTTTTCAAACTCTGAGCGCTGTAAGGTTTGACAGTCACGTGACCTTGACACCACGGAAATCATGCCTTTCAGGCAACAAACATTATGCAGTCGGAAATGTAGCTGCTCTGAAACATAGACACTTGCAAGCCATTCGCTGCAAATGCTAGCGAAGAAAAAGGGCTGCAACTGCTTTTGCAACAGCACTACTGTTACTTGTGTCACTATTCTGTGTTGCTTCTACCATACACGTATATTTTTTCTACAACCAAAACATTACTTTTCTCTCCCTAACCACATAAAATTGTTTATGATAACTCATCTTCTCCAAACAAAAAATCACACAAAAGAAACACAATCAACAAAAGTATTTTAAACAAAAACTAACAAAAAATAAATCTAGCTCTTCTTCACAACAAAATATACCAAAAAACAACAAAAAAATAAAGCGCAGACTTAGGAAACAAAAAGTACATGAAATTTAGGTCCATTTTTAGGTGCACTTTTAGGTAAATTTTCCGGGACAAAAAATTACAGTAAATTGGTCAAATTTAGTAAATCACAAAAAATGTAATTTTTACTAATTTCCGAGACTCAGGGTTCAAACCCCCAAATCGACCTAAATCACCTAATGAGGAATGAGGAGGTCTTGTGGAAGTCTAGAACAAGTTTGAGTTGTTTGGCATACAATCACACATGTGATTTTGACAAAGTTTTTTCTTTAGAAAAAAACGGTTGATTTTACCAGGATACATGGGATACGATGGGATGCTAGCCAGCAAATACTGTAAATGCCGGATTGAGGAAACAACATTCATATCCAAGTAACCAAGTAGGGGTTTCCTAAAATGGTAATACCCCTAAATCATCCATTTGAATAAGACTTTCCAATATAAACCATACATTTTGGTGTACCCCCATTTATGGAAACCCCCAAGCAATAGTGGTTTGTCCAAGTATTTGTATTGAGTGAAAGGACCAACCAGTTTATCGTGCCAAAGAAGTGGCATTTAATCAATCACGTTCTGATGGTGCAAAACAAAAATGAAATGGGGATGTAACATATTTTTCAAAAAAAATCACTAGATGAAGGTTTTCCAGAATTGATTATGAAATGGACAAACAAGATGACATGTTTTCCCAAAATCGATGACAAACCCTGACTGGATCCATGTTGGGGATTGTTTGCATATTTTATATATCTGGTGAAAACCTGAAGTCAATAGAAATTGAATGAATTGATCCCTGGTTGAGCTGAACATGGACCCTTTTTTACCACCAAAATGACAATTTTGTTGATTTGGAAGATGATAAACCATTGGCTTTGGATTTAGGGAGGCCCATATGCATCATGGATGAGAACGAACCTTGGTTTCAAATCAGACCGAAGTGGACAGCGTTCTGGGACCAGAACGTGACGCTTGTGGATTCATCCTAGTGAAGCTACTGAACTTTTAGCCAAAAGAAATGTTCAGTTGAAAGTCTTTGAACCTTAAAAGAACATGAATACTATCCATAAACCATAGTTATAGTTAACTACATGTTATGATTTCTAGTTGTTTCAACCAACTTAGCGATGAACCGTGGGAGCCTCAATAACTGTTTTTTTTCCAACTAAGGTACCTTTGAGAGCATTGAGTTTTGGCCAACGGAGGACGGCGTGTGTCGACAGTGTCCTCTTCTGTACGCCCAGGGTGGATCCCAAATCCGGGTTGTGTGTGGAACTGGTGTCGATTTTCTGCGGGCAGCTGAATATGTAAACCAACCGACCGGTTAGATACGAAGTAGTACAACTTAATTTTTGCTATCAATGGTGAAATTAGTAACACCAGCTAAAAGAATGTCGCAGGTATCTAAGATTCACCATGATTGGTGTTATTTCATCCAGTCCACTAACATGGTGATTTGATGAGGTTTTTAATGGGATGATATGACCAAAAAAAATGATGATTTACATATAAAATGGGATCTAATCAACAATCATGATCATTTAATGGGAGGGATATCGTGGGATACAACACTATGATATACGGATATACGGGGTTGCCCAAAAATTGGTCAAAAATGGGAAAGACCCTATAATATGGTCGTTCTAATGAGACACACTATGATTAAGACATTGCATTTTGTTTCCAACATTTTCCGACAAGCTATCAATTGAGTCAGGGTCGCTAATCAAGGGAACCCGTTGTTTGGTCACCTCTGTTGAAACCGGGTTATTTTATTGTTCGGTTGTAGTTGAATCTCGTTTTGCACCATAGTTATCGAGGACTCTTGGCCAGGAATCTGTGAATGTTTACGCTATCTGTAAATGTCGTTTGTTTTTGATTGAGGTTAGCCGTTGGCCAGAAAACATCAGAAGATATGAAACAACCTGCAAAACTAGTGGTATGTAGCCATAGAACATGATGATTGCTAAGACTTCTAAATTTATTTATTTTCACATCAGGCACTTAATGAAAATATTAGTAGTTATCTTAACTTATCATAGAAGTCATTTTTACTTATTTTCACTTATTTTCACTTAATTTAGGTTAATTTTTCATTATTTTTTACTGTTTAAAATTGATAAAAGACGAAAGATGTTTCTGTCATAGGGTTTTGTAAAACATCTTTGAATTAAAAAAATATAAGAATGTTGCGTTTTCTGTTTTTTGTTTGGATATTTTCATGGTTCCGATTTTATATATCTATGTATATATATATATTTCTGAATATTGCGATTTTTTTCGAATTATCTAAATTTCCTAAATTCTCTGGATTTTCTGAAATTTTTGAATTTTCTGAATTTCAGAATTTTCATATTTTTTTTGTTTTTTTTAATTGTCTGAATTTTCTGAATTTTCAAATTTTCTGAATTTTCTGAATTTTCTGTTTTTTTCTAAATTTTCTGAATTTTCTGAATTTTCTAAATTTTCTGAATTTTCTGAATTTTCTGAATTTAATATATTATATATATATATCTGAATTTTCTGAATTTTCTGAATTTGCTGAATTTTATGAATTTTCTGAATTTTCTGAATTTTATGAATTTTCTGAATTTTAGATTTTTTTTAATTTTCTGACTCTTCTGATTTTTTTAAATTTTCTAAATTTTCTGATTTTTTTGTTTTTTCCGACTTTTCAACATTTTCAATATTTTCTTCATTTTCTACATTTTCTCATTTTCAAAATTTTCTGACGTATATACATTAAAAATAATAAATTTGTTACCTTCTGTATGTTTAAGCATTATAAATTTTCTCAGTAAGTTACTTTTCTCCATTTATTTCTATTACAATCTTTTTTTGAGTGGTGTGTATTGTTTCCATGTCCATCAATGTTGAAAACTGACAAAAAACATATTTTTACTTATTTTCGCTTCTTTTCCCTTATTTCAACTTATTTTTGAATAATATTCCACTATATTTACTTATATGTTCATTATTATGTTACAAGTTCACCTAAACGATTAGTGGAACTTAAAACAAAAAAAATAAAAATAAACAATTTAAACAAGATATTAGCAAGATAATAGCAACTTATAATATACTTATAACTTCATTAAGTGCCTGATGTGAAAATAAATAAATTTAGAAGTCTTAGTGTGCGCAAAAATCTCGGGAAATGATTGAAAATACCCTATTTGTAGACAAAATACGGACGAGAATGTAACCAGTGATGTATGGTGGAGATATGTTATCTCTACCTACTACACATTATACATTGGAATAGAAGCAACCACAGTGGAGGGTGAATGTTGGTAATTCTGTGATGAAGAAACAACATAGTGATAAATATTCCCTAGTTTTCCTGGTAACCTTCCCAGAGGTAGCTAGGCCTTTTTACAGGAACCAGGCTGCCAGCGAGGAACCACAAATAGAAGCAACTGATTTATCACGGTTCCACTCATTTTCTAACGGTTCCAAGTTCCAAGGTATATTTTCACGGTTCCAATGCGTTTTGTCACGGTTCCGACCTGTTTTGTCAGGGTTCCAATCGCTACATCAAACCTTGGTTCCGGAAACTATGTTTGGTTACCTGTATCATAGGTAACTGAAGTGGTTACCTGTCCCAAAGGTAACTGAAAGGGTTAGGGATTTATATATACAGTATTATGATGATGATAATGATGTGGACGCCAGTGACAACAATGAAGACAATGACTATGATGATGACAGGGATAACACCCAAGCTGATCCTCGTCCATTTCTTGTATTTCTTGACACATTGACCTGTTAAATATGCCGATTAACTATAGGAGCTTCTGGAGGACCTTGATGTACCCTTTGGTTATTTAACATAACCATGGAAAATGGCCCATTTATAGATGGTTTACCTGGTTTACCTATTAAAAATGGTGATTTTCCATGGCTATGTTAAATAACCAGATGGTATCATGATGTATCAGTTTTCCAGCTGGTCACCTTCACCGTTGCTGCTGTTGCAGGTATGTCCCCTTCCAGGGTGCTTCTAAGCGAGCATGCCCCGCTGCAGCAGTCAGGCGCGGTTGAAAGTCCGAAAGTCCGAAAGTCCAGTGGTTGATTACCCTCTGGTAATTGGTTACATAGCTATTGAACATGGCCATTTATAGATGTTTTACCCACTAATAGCATGGTGATTTTCCATAGTCATGTTAGTTTACCAGAGGGTTTGTAATCCGCAGTTGCATGCGGATAGACCCTGGTGATAGTTTACGTGGTTGCAGAGCTGCCATAGATGCCATAGCTATGTGGTAAAGCCAATGTCATAAACCGACAATTTGGGGATGATCGGAACCATGGTGATATTAGGGATGGCTTATTACCCTCTGGTAAACTAACAGTTTGCTATTGAAAATGGCCCATAGAAATAGTTCGTTTACCTATTAAAGATAGTGATTTTCAATAGCTATGTAAACGTTTGCCAGTGGGTTTTTCCTGGCTTTACCACATTATTGGGAATCAGATCAGGATGGAAGAGGTTGAAGATTTTTTTCAGGAACAAAAAAACATGTTTGAACAAAGTCACATCACCCTACTAGATCGTTGATTGATGATGAAGTTCAATTTGTTGTGTGTTAATCCCTGATTTTTCTTTTGACCCTAGGGTAAACCAACATAGGAGTGGGAAAACCCAAGGTTTCTCTAGGGAAAACGAGCTACACACTTTAGATTTTCAGCATTTTTGTTAGTTTACCGGAGGGTGGTCTACCATCCAAGACATGCCGGGCTTTTTTGGTGGTCTACCCTGGATGTCAGCCATGTCAGCCAGGCCTTGCTTCGATGAGACCTACACCTGTGAGCCGGGAGCTCAGCTCAAGGCCTTGACGTCGTGGGAAAACAGGTGATTCTGGAGAAATTTGACAAAGAATTTCCTGGTAGAGCTGCTGGTTGGTGGTTTGGAACAGGACTTTTATGACTTCCCATTCAGTTGGGAATGTCATCATCCCAACTGACTAATATTTTTCAGAGGGGTTGAAACATGTTGAAACCACCAACCAGATTGAGTCAACTTGATCTTTTGCTATAGTAAAATCTCTGGAACTCAAGTAGTTGATTTAGATATTTAGGAGATATGTTTTATTACTATTGCACCTGATATTTTTTGTCAACCTTTGCTAGATATACTTTAATATTTTGCTATAGTAAAATGTACTAAACTACTCCTGACATGATCCCAATTTAATCAGTCCCCCAGGCCCCCAATGTTCCATATTGCTGGGATACTTACCAAACATCAGCAAAATGACCCACATGTAGATAAATATATTTCATACATGGAGCACATGGGTTCTATTCTGTTCTATTTATCACCTAAATCGTGATTCTATGAGCCACTCATAACCACTAAAAAATGGCTTCGCTCATCCACTTTGAGCAATCAACTGGGAAAATCTTGGGTTTCCCCTTTTTTCAAGTTTTTTTCTTATCCCAACATTGATGGTCAAATCCCAATGATTGATCCTTATTATTGTTCAGCCCCCTTCGAAGTATGTGACATCCCCTAAATTCATGGTCAGATCTCAATAAAGCACCATTGTTCATCGTAAAATCCTAATGAATCACCATTTTTCATCGTAAATCCCATTGAATCACAATTTATCGACCAAGTACATCCCATTGAATCACTAATTTTCATAGTAAAATCCAAGTGAAATCACCATTTTTCAGAGGTAAAACTTGGGGTCCCCCCCGACATCCACCGGTCTCGTTGCGTCTCGTTGCGTCTCCAACGAGGCGCTGTTGCAACGTGAAGAAATATGGACCTCGAGGAGACCGGGAGTGTTGGCGTCGAGATCGGCTGGGAAACCTGGGGCTTTTACAGAATGGATTTACTGGGTTTCAATGGTGATTTAATGGGATTGAATGGTGATTTTAATGGGACTTAATTGTGATTTCATGGTGATTTAATGGGATTCAATGGTGATTTACTGGGCTTTAATGATGATTTAATGGAATTTAATTTATTGGAATTTAATTGGTTTTAAGGATGATTTAATGGAATTTAATGAGCGTTAATGATGATTTATTGGAATTTAATTGTTTTTAAAGATGATTAATGGATTTGTTTGGGTGTTAATGATGATTTAATGGAATTTACTTGGCTTTAAGGATGATTTAATGGAATGTAATAGGTCTCAAAGATGATTTAATGGAATTCAATGGGTTTCAAAGATGATTTAATGGAATTTAATGGGTTTCAAAGATGATTTAATGGAATTTATTGGGTTTTAATGAAAGTTTACTTGTTTTTTTTGGGGGTGGAGAGAAGATTTAATGGGATTGATATGTAGCTAAAATAGGTCAGATGGATATTTGTTTCAGCTAACTGTGAATCTAATCCCCTGGGACTGGCAGTGGAGGTTGAAATTGTGGGCTTTCTCCGAAGCCATGGTGAATAGCCTATGTTTTTTGATGATGAACCATGGGATGAACCATGCAAGGTGGTGCTCGGAAGATAGCGTTCAGTTGGGGGCTACATAACTCTAATTTCATTATGGTGTATAGTACGCAAATAACTATATAGTTAATGGGGTTTATAAACCAACTAACATTACTGGGGGGGCCCACATTGTGGGACTGTTAAATTTGGGTACCCTACTTTCAGACAATCCATATTGTTGATTTCCATCGGCATGAGAACGACCAGGTGCCAGTTCCAATGGAACTGGGGCAGGATGTGATTCCCTGGCTCAATACTCCCCAGCTGACGAAGTTCAAGGTGTTGTCGGATCTTTACTACCAGGGGTCATGAACGATGATGTTTGTACTTCATATACTGAATCTATCCATAAGAATGGATTAAATTTGATTGAACCAACAAAAACTCGACAAACATAGTGAATCACCACTGTTTCATGTACATTGAGCACATCGTTGTGCTGTCAACCTTCCGGATCTAAGGAGAAACATCCCTATAGATTCAAATGGGGCTTTCCAAAACTGGATAGTTTATTTCATGCAAAATCCCAATCTAAAGTGGATGATTTGGCTTTACCCCTATTATAGTAACCCCCCAAATACATATATATATACATATATTGTTAGGATTTTTAAGACTTTTCCGGTGCATATTTTGGGGCTAAAGTATCTTTTGAGAAAGTATTTGGATCCATAGCTATGACATGGTATAATTCTCTCGCAGCGTCCCAGCAGCTCAGACAACTGGCTGAGGCCTTTCGAAGTGGTTGGGGACTTAAACGCCCGGGTGGGTCAGTTTTTTCACAGCCACATAAATTGTGGATCAACATCGGTTTGTTCATGTAGTCTTAATCCATGAATTTTTAATCATGTTTACAGTTATGGCCCGAAATACCAGTTATAAGTACTAAGAAAACCCCATTTATAGAATGTATAATCCCACTGAAATAACCAGTTATAACTGATAGATGGCCATAACTGTAGGGGTCCAGTCATTTTGACTCATGCCCCAATGATCTCATAGTTCAATCGGTGGTATTGAAAAGAAAACATGACCACACATCTTCATATTTGATGTGAACATTTATTCATCAGGAGCCACAGTTGGCATCTGTTTTTGCATCAAATAATCTTAAACCATTTTTAAATATAGTGAAATCACACATCTTAAGCCTGAACAGATATGAAATCATCCACTTTATCATCCATGTTTTGCAAAAAAAAATTGCCCCATCCCCAGGAGATTCCGAGCGCGAAATCTGAGGCAAAGCGCTTGCCCAGTGGTTCGGCAGCCTATCCTGTGCCTGAGGATGGTGCGTGATGGCGGATTGCATCCAGATGGGGATATTAAATGAATATATGGGTCAGTGATTGGGATAGATGATTACCCTCTGGTAATTTAACATAGCTATTGAAAATGGCCATTTATAGTGGATTTTCCCATTAAGAATGGTGATTTTCAATAGCTATGTTAGTTTACCAGAGGGTAGTAGGTTTTTTATTAGGATGATTAGTCTGATTCATTAGGATGATTAGTATGATTTATTAGGATGATTATGATTAGTATGATTAGTATCAATACAGATACTTGGACAAATCACTATTACTTGGGATTTTCATAGTCATGGGGGTACCCCAATAGCTGGTTGGTTTATCTCATGGAAAATCCCCACTAAAATGGATGATAACTAGGGGTACCCCTATTTCAGGGAACCTCCATCTGGATCAATGATGGAGATACTAATATCATGAAACTAGATGATGATTGGTTGATGATTAGTAGGTGAAAAAAAACAAAAAACACATACAGGAGACCATGAATACACTGCAACCGCGTGCTCCATCACTCTTTTATTTTTTGGGGCTATGAAACCTGGCAATGGAAAATCTAGCATGTTTGATAGGTAAACACATGTAAACACTAAACACTCGAACCAAATGGGCCATCTATACCCGAGCTATGTGAAATTACCAGAGGGTACCTATCATATAGACAACTCTAATCTAAATACATTATCATGTCATATTAGGATATAAGGTGATGCCCCCTAGTTAAATTGGTTTATTAGCCAACCATAGTTGCAATCACCACCCAATGGTGAACTTAGTTTTTCCAACCGACGTTTCTGACTAAATCCAGTCGAATCCCATTAAGACACCACTAGCGCTCCAAATACCATCTGAGAAGGTGAAAACCGACCCCAAAAAACAACTCCCTGTATGCAGTCTCAGTCTCGGTGTTTGGAGCCGTATTGAACCACCATACAACTGCCATTTCAACCATTTTCAAGCGACCTGCCCCAGTTTTTTGGGGCGCTTTGCGTCGCAGGATGTGATTCAGCGCATGATCGATGCTACAGCTGATCAAGGCGCGCCACAACCGTGATAATCTGAGGAATAAGATTGTCACAGGCGGGGTTTTTATACCTCTTATATATATATTTGTAGATATGTATAGATATTGTTACTATCCACCTACCAACAAGAATGAAATGCATTTTTTTGTCGGCGAAGAACTCTAAGCCCGAATTGTAGAGCTCACCTGGATGCAGTCTGACGATATTCCCATTGATATCAGAAAAAATCCCCATCAACTTGAGTTCGGAATCCTCATTGATGTAGCTTAGATCCTACCTTTTCTTGGCGCGGTGAAAAACCCTGGTGACTGAACTGATTGTGAACTGTTTTGTTATTCCTTTACCAAGCAAAATGGGGGGCATGAACCTTCAGAAGTGAGGATAAGACCCTAATGATTGAGGTTATATGGACTGATTTGATGAGAAGATTCTAGTCCATTATATTTAGGAATCCCTGTCAACTAATGAGTAGAAGGAGATGGCAGAGAGTTTTTTGGAGTGGCCACAAGAAGCGGTGAGAATTAGAGTCTTTTTCTTAATCCCAACTTGTGTTGTGAGCACACTTCTTGCATTTGCATCCCACTTGGTAAGTGTTCATACCCCATGCATACCCATGGTCACTGGGTTATGAAATGGTTGTTACCCCCGGATCCTAACTGAATAGCTTAACTGCTCTAACCTGCATAACCTTCGGGCGTCGGATACGCCAAAAACCTGGGATTGCCCAGGATGGTGCTCAAAAAGTGTCCCGGCCCAAAACCAATTCGAGAAACAGGTCGTTTGTGGCGCATGCTTCAAGTCACTGTAGCTTTGCCAAGCGGACGCAGTGAGAAGTTTGGACCGCTTCCGCAATCCTCCAAAGTAGGGGATTTGAGGGTTCTGGCACAGAAGTCGTTTCAGCTTGGGTTCGTGAGGCTTGTTACGGCAGACCACAGCGTGGTGGATCTGGCAGTGTCTCTACAAGCTGCAGGGCTTGAAGATGGAGACCACCTGGCAGCTATTGCCGTAAAGGCAAAGCTAGCGGCAACAGACCGAGCTTTTGCGCTGTTTTGCTGTGCAGGTGACCGTGTTGTCACATGGGGCGCGGGTCCTGGTGGTGACAGCTCCAAAGTCCGAGATCAGCTCAAAGGTGTCCAGCATGTTCAATCAAATGGAAGCGCATTTGCTGCAATCCTGGCAGATGGGTCCGTTGTGACCTGGGGCGATCCAGATTTGGGTGGTGACAGCTCTGAAGTCCGAGATCAGCTCAATGACGTCCAACAGGTTCAATCAAATGGAAGCGCATTTGCTGCGATCCTGGCAGATGGGTCAGTCGTGACTTAGCGTCCAACAGGTCCAAGCAGCTCGCTTCGCATTTGCTGCAATCCTGGCAGATGGGTCAATTGTGACTTGGGGCATTCCAGAGTATGGAGGTGACAGCTCTCAGGTCCAAGAGCAGCTGAAAGGTGTCCAGCAGGTTCAAGCAACTGATGTCGCTTTTGCTGCAATCCTGGCAGATGGGTCCGTTGTGACCTGGGGCGATCCAGATTTGGGTGGTGACAGCTCTGAAGTCCGAGATCAGCTCAATGACGTCCAACAGGTTCAATCAAATGGAAGCGCATTTGCTGCGATCCTGGCAGATGGGTCAGTCGTGACTTAGCGTCCAACAGGTCCAAGCAGCTCGCTTCGCATGTGCTGCAATCCTGGCAGATGGGTCAATTGTGACTTGGGGCATTCCAGAGTATGGAGGTGACAGCCCTCAGGTCCAAGAGCAGCTGAAAGGTGTCCAGCAGGTTCAAGCAACTGATGTCGCTTTTGCTGCAATCCTGGCAGACGGCTCGGTTGTGACCTGGGGCGATCCAGATTTGGGTGGTGACAGCTCTGAAGTCCGGGATCAGCAAAAAGATGTCCAACAGGTTCAAGGAACTCAGACTGCATTTGCTGCGATCCTGGCGGGTGGCTCGGTTGTGACTTGGGGCGATCCAGATTCTGGCGGTGACAGCTCTGAAGTCCAAGATCGGCTCAAAGGTGTCCAGCAGGTTCAATCAAATAAAAACGCGTTTGCTGCAGTCCTGGCAGACGGGTCAGTTGTGACCTGGGGCAATCCCAATTATGGTGGTGACAGCTCTCAGGTCCAACATCAGCTAATAGGAGTCCAACAGGTTCAAGGTAATGAGAATGCATTTGCTGCAATCCTGGCAGACGGGTCAGTTGTGACTTGGGGGCATCCCCGTTATGGTGGTGACATGTCAGCAGCAGATCAGGTTGCACTTGTGTAGTGAGCTTGGCGCAAAGCCGCCGACCAGAATGCTATGAGGTGATGCCACAAACCCAAACGTTCTTGGAGCTAGACTCCGACCAGAATGGGGATCTGCCAGATCACCATGGGTCATGGAAATGATTATGGTTTAGCCACGACCGTGATAATCTGAGGAATAAGATGGTCACAGGCGGGGTCTTATTTAGATAATATATACCTTATATATATATATACTGGTTGGTGGTTTCAAGCATTTTTATTTTCCATACTATATGGGATAATCCTTCCCATTGACGAACTCATATTTTTCAAGATGGTGAAGATGGTTATTGCATGTTATTGCACCACCAACCAGCCATTAGTTATATATAACCTATATGGAGGGGTTTATTAACGCAGTTATTCACAATTCACATTGTTCTCACTCCTGGCCTGCGCCCACAAGACGGGGATGTTGGAGGCCCGGAAGCCAAAGACGTTGTCTTGAGCTCTCTGGGTCCGCAGGCGTGGGGACGTTGGTCCGGAATCATGTGGAATCGCTAAGTTGGTGAACATCAACTCCAATAACTATAGTGTTGATAGGTGATATAACATGATATAACTATGGTTTATGAAGTTTATAATTTAATGCACCAACTTATAAATATGTGACGGGTCCCACCATGTACTTGAACCGTGACATTGATGCCCCTGTTGACGGGCTTAGACATAAAAGGGGTTATTAGCCTCAGTGTTTTATTGAGGATTAAGGAATCCAATAATTTAGGATACATATCATTACATGTCCACAATAAACCATAGTTCACCTACCCATAGGATCCATGTATGCTATATATGGTAGCATTTACCATCCATATACCCCAAATGTTACCATATATAGCATACATGGATCCTATGGGCTATAAAATAGTATGTGTATGGTATTTGATAGTTATAAAACAAGTTAGCTAACTATAGGGCACCATGTACGTGATGCAGACGTTCCACGCAACTCCCTGGACCTGGCAATTCTACCGACGCTTCATCGGCTTTAGAAAAGTGAGAATCTCACGAGAAAATCTGTATAGTTTTTTCTAGAGAATCTGTATGGTAATTCTAAAAGTGAGTTGCTATCCGACACTTCATATTCAGCTATTCGAGCCGATATGATCTAGTTCTAATTCCATTGAAATTTTATAAATGACCCATTGTTGTCCAAATTCCAGACGACATAGGTTTCAAATTGGTATTATCAGGTCATATTTCATGACGATTAGATAAATCATACTAATGATTCCAATAGGGTTCATAGTGTCCCACGAATGCTTTAATTCTCATTTCATTTCATTTGGGCCAAGTGAATTAGATGGGAATGTATGGGAATATATTCTAGTTTGAGATGGAAGAGAACATGAATAACATTTTGATTGGGATTATCATTATATAGTCTCATTTTTAGCCACACAGATACACCTCCAGTGTATCCCAATGGGATGTCGAAAACCCATCGAGCAACTCGTCGTGTTGCAGGCCGATCCGGAGCCGAATCCAAAAGTCTTCTCCTACGAGATGTGTTGCGCTGGCATGGCACGGCACTCTGTGGCAGATAGTCATGGTGAGACATCGGTCGAAGTTTACGACGGATATTGTTATATGGGTATGGATCAATACCTATTAATATTAATTTTTAGGGGGATGAACATCCATTTACCAGCTATTTTGATGTTCACCAGGGGTACAAGGTTTTAACACACTGCCATATGTTTATCAGAAAGGGTGTTTTTTCTATGCGCAAAAAAACAACATTTTGGAGATATCTTTTAGATGTTGTATTATTGTTTTTGGTGTTCATAACACCCTTTGTAAGTAAGCTGAACCATTTTGGGTGTTTAAAACTTGTGAGTTGCCTACAATTTGGGCTTTTGTTTGCTTCGATTGTCTCAAGATTTGGCTACACTATGGGCATTTGTCTGCCCTTTGTTTGCTTCGACGGCGAAACCAAGAAAGCAAAAAAAACAGATTTGTCAACTAGTCGGGAGACCAGAGTAGTTGGGATGTCTTTTTGTTTTTTTTTTTTGTTTGTGTGGTTTTTGTGGTTTTGGATTAATCCAGATTCATCCAGAATCCAGATTAATCCTGAAAGATAGGGCAATGTAACGCTGTCTTGTAGTATTAAAAAAATGGTTATCACAGGTCCTTGTACTATCTACACCACTTTTTTCAAAGTGCGATACTTTTTTGAAAAACATGTTGCATAAATTGGTGGCACACTTTGCTGAAGGAATACGGCCATCTTCTCAAGCATCATTGCATCATCGATGGTATCTGCTGTAGACTCATGTTACACTTTCTTGGAGGGATGCTACACAGATTTGCCAAGAAACTAGTCACTTTTAAAATTACATATACATACGCACATATATATATATACGTATATATATATATATACACATACATCTGTGCATTTTCAATTGAAGGTTTTCACCGGCATCTGTCCACCGGCATCTTTTTTTGGAACAAAAAGGAGACTGTAGCTGCCACAGGGGATTTTTTGAGCGTTCTCTAATATCTCAATTTAACTGCTTGGAACCACTAGTGAACGGCTTTATTAACTCCGCTTTGTATTTGAGGCTTTGGCAGGCAATGTTATTTCGATGGAATATATGATTTTTTACAGTTCTGTTTAATATTCAATTGCTAATCCTACTGTGCAATAGCTTGGCTCAAACTGTTTTCCGCCCGCGTTTGAACAATGTGAAAGGGAGCACAAGAAGCAGGTCCCCTTGGTTGTCCACGTGGAAGATTTCCCAAGCACTCTAAGAATTCCCCATAAAAGAAATCCCAAGCTTCATCCCCAAAATTTCCCCCAAATCTTCATGCCAAGGTCAGAGAGGTGGTGACTATGCCACCAGTTGGGGGGCCGCATTTGTCCAATTTCCTCCATCTTCAAAACGAAGGTGAATATTGGAGCCTCTTGGCGTTGCTACGGGTGGCCGGGCCGGGTCGTCCAAGGAGCCTTTGTTCGCCAGATTTGACCAGCATGTGATGGTGATTTGATGGTGATTGATTGTGACTTGAGCATCCATTTGAGTGGGGATACGGGGATACAATGGGGATAATTTTCTGGTATTGCAAGCTTGTGCTGCTTGGCTACAGTGAGCTAAGTTGGTTGAAATAACTAGGTTGGGTGTTGGGTTTCTGGTTTTGAAATTATTATTTTTAGGTGGGTGAATACAAACCGACAAACAAAAGTGGGGGGCAAGAAACCGTGTATCCCATGTGGCCCCAAAAGAACCCTGCATGACCAGCGAATTTTTGGAGCAAATGTATGTGATCCTCCGGTCATCAAACATGGCGTGCTGGAAAATCTTTGATTGTTTGATGATTTTCTCGGGAAAAACTTTTTTTGTTTCTTAATAGCGGATTTCCCAGGTTTGCCATGTTGGATTTCTGGGTGTCCCAGTGGACTGCCCATAAATAGAGGCTTTATTAAGATAAAATCATCTATTGCTGGAAGCTAGTGACCCCAGGGCATGAAAAGATTTGAGACATTTCAACACTGTTTTCTGGGATTGTTCTTCCTCACAATCTATCATTTTTTGGTGTGAAATAACTATGGCATAGCCACCATGTTGGTCATATAATGATATTCTAAATATATATATATATATATAATTGTATATATCTATATCTTGGCTGAATAATATCAAGTTGAATCAAATGAAGTTCCCATGTTGAATATTACTGATATATGTACAATTTGCAATGTGTGCATGAACCCACTTCAAACATTGCTATCTGGTAATTTTGCTCATTGCTATGGGTTATAGATGGCCCATCAAAGTAGATGGTTTACCATGTCAACACATTGTCATTTTCCATAGCAAGCTGCAACAAAGGATCCAGAGGGTATGTTTTCATTAACTATATCTCAGGATATCCCATTCTATCCTCCATTCAGTTCGATGATTTTCCTATTTCAACTTCATGTTCCCATATTTTCCTAGAGTTTTCCTGTGGTTTGCTATGGTTTTTCTCGAGTTTTCTTATGGTTTTCCTAGAGTTTTCCTCTTAAAACCTTCCTCCCTTGGAACATCGGCTCTCGCCGCACGAGGCCAAGATACGGAGCCGCCACCAGCGCCGGCCAAGGCGAAGACCGCGAACACCGTGGAGACTGGTGGATCACGCCAAAGAAATGATGGTCATCGGGGTTGGAAGACTGGCTTCTCAAAATTGCCTATTTGAAAAAGGGTCTATGTTTAATTTGCCAGAGGGTAATTGATTTTATTGGCAACTACTATACCATATTGAAATCATATACAGTAATTACCGTAATTACCAATGTTTGGTGGTTCAGTGGGATTACATATGGCAACATATTTCCCAAAGGGTGGATGATGGTGGGATTAATGGACATTAATGGACCAAAGATGGTGTTCTTCGGACGGAACCAAGCAGAAATGGTCATTCTTCATGGGATAAGTGAGATTTTATGGACTTCAATGGGATTGAATGGGATTTAGCTAAGTTGACACACAGTTCACTTTGTGAACTGTTGGGTTGATTACGGGGATATCTATATCATTCAAGTTTATAAACCAACAAACATAACTGGGTGGCCTCACCTTTGAGGAAGTCCGACTGTCGTAATATGTGGGTATCATGGGGTATCCCTTTATCGCTGGATGGTTTATCGAACATCCCAATCTGATATGGATGGTTTATGTCATCGAAAATCCCAATCTACCCTCTGGTAATTTAAGGTAGCTATTGTTGATTTACCCATTAAAAATGGTGATTTTCCATAGCTATGTTAGTTTACCAGAGGGTAAAATGGATGATGACTGGGCTACCGCCATGGCGGAAACCTCCATGGAAGTGCCATGGAGAAGTTTCCAGAGGGTTTCCCGGCGGGATCACTCCATTGACATCCACTGATTATATGACCATTGATATACCCATCTCTACAATGTGGGCACCTCCAGTGATGTTTAATGTTTGTTGGTTTATAAACCCTGTTAACTATAGTAATTTGCGTACCATAAACCATAGTGAAGTTGGAGTTATGTTCACCCACTTAGCTATCGACCGGGGGCCCCACATTGTAAGGAATTCCTACTGATGGTGGGAATACACAACCGTTGCACATATGAATGTAGGTCAAAACCAGATGGCGATACAACCTGATGCAATCCGCACAGAAGCAACAAAGATGGCAGTGGCTGTTTGTCAACACGGTACTCTTGTGAAATTTCCAAACAAGGAATAGAAGGATTTATATTAAGACTTGAACGTTGGTCCGCAAGCGCATCAACTGATGGATTTAAGGTAGATATATCTACAGTACATTGGGTGGAATGCACCAACAAACATCACTGAGTGGCACCGCATTGCAACATATTCCAGTACATCCCGATTACCCTCTGGTAAACATACAAAAAACTGTTGAACAGGGCCCAGTCGAAATAGTTGATTTACCCATTAAACATGGTGATTTTCCATAGTCATGTTAGTTTACCAGAGGGTAATATGCAAACCTTATCATTAACCTTATCATTAACCATTAACCTTATCATTGTGATTTTCCATAGTCATGTTAGTTTACCAGAGGGTACGTTTGGTTTCATAGCCATCCTTTGTTGCTGAATTGTTTCCCATCGCCATCCAACTCCCAGGCTCCAGTTTGCGCAACGATGGCTGAACTCTATGAGGCGGGTCTGAACACAATTTGTGTTGCTTAAATCCAATGGTTTGAGATATTTACCATCTGGTTATTTAACATAGCCATGGAACACAAGGTGGTGCCCCCAAGATAGCTAAGTTGGTTTATAATTCCAATAACTAGGACTTATGGTAGATATATCTATAGTTATTGGGATTATAAACCAACTTATAACTTTGGGGGCACCACATTGCATCCCCTATAAACGGAGGTTTTAATGGGAAAATAGTCTATAAATGGGCCATGTTCCATGGCTATATTAAATGATCAGAAGGTATGACTATAGTATTAATGACTGATGTCTATAAATCAACAAACATACATTGGTTTATTACCCATTAACTCTAGTTATAGTATGTTATACTGGTTGGTGGTTTGGAACATGCTTTTTTTTGGTCCATGTCATATATTGGGGATAACCCTTCCCATTGACTTTCATATTTTTCAGAGGGGTTGAAACCACCAACCAGAAATTATATACTGGTCCCAGCATATACATGCTATAGAATGGCCTTCTTGGCTGATTTGTCATCAGCAAAAACGATGATTTAATGAATTTAATGGGATCTAATGGGATTTGGCTAGATAAGTTGGCTGTGAACTGTTGATATGTGTATACTCAATGGGGTTGAGAAACACTAACTTTCTTAAGCCCACATTGTATGATATGCCGATTCTTCCCCTTCACTTGAAGCTTGTGTGGATCAGATATGAAGGCGGCCAGTCCAGTGCCACGCTTTGGCTCAAGTCCCAGGGGGCCCCCAGATGTCGCTTTCTGCTGGATTTCTCCACGGGCCATCCCTCCAATTAAGATTGGCAAAATCCCACATCCTGATGTTTGGCCCTTAGCACCACCTGTCAGCACACAAAGCTTGTGTTTTTCAGGCATACTGCAGCACAAGTCTTGACATTCTGCAGTCCTCCAAAGTAGGGGACTTGAGGATTCTGGCACAGAAATCCTTGGAAAAGACCTGCTTGCGGCTAGTCGCTGCAGGGGGGCGTGACCTGGACCCATTGGAATGCCAGTAGGGCGGATTGGGAGCACCTCACAGCCCTTGTGCAAATGCCAAAGGTAGCTGCAACAGAGAAAGCTTTCGCGTTGTGGTTTTCTGGAGCTGATGGAATGGCTACCTGGGGTAGTCCAGGATATGGTGACAGCTCTGAAGCCCAAGACCAGCTGAGAAATGTGATGCAGCTGCGGGCGACGCGTCACGGCGCCTTTGCCGCGATCTTGGCCAATGGATCAGTGGTTACCTGGGGTGATCCAGAGCGAGGTGGTGACTGCTCGGCAGTTCAAGGTCAGCTCAGGAATGTGCAGAAGATTCAGTCCACAGAATCCGCATTTGCCGCGATCATTGTCAATGGATCCGTGGTTGCTTGGGGCCAGCCAGAGAGCTGTGACTGCTTCACAATTCAAGATCAGCTGAGGAATGTGAGGCAAATTCAGGCAACAGATCACGCATTTGCTGCGATCTTGGCCAATGGATCCGTCGTTACCTGGGGCGATCCAGATGATGGTGGTGACTGCTCTGCAGTTCAGGGTCAGCTGAAGAGCGTGCATCAAATTCAGGCTGCAGACAGCGCATTTGCCGCAATCTTGGCGGATGGATCCGTCGTTGCTTCGGGCGATCCAGACTGGGGCGGTGACTGCTTGCAAGTTCGAGATCTGCTCAGAAATGTGAAGCTAATTCAGTGCACAGCAGCTGGCGCATTTGCTGTGGTCTTGGCCGATGGTTCGGTGATTACTTGGGGCAATCCAAACAAAGGTGGTGACTGCTCGGCAGTTCAAGATCAGCTGAGAAACGTGCAGCAAATTCAGGCCACAGCTCGTTCATTTGCGGCGATCTTGGCCGATAGATCAGTGGTTTCCTGGGGCCATGGATCGTTTGGCGGCTTGGCGGTGACAAGCGCAAGATCAGCTCAAGAACGTGTAGTAACTGTAGTAGGTTCAGGCCGCACATGGTTCGCTTTCTGCGATCCTTGCACCAAGCAGTTGTTACCACCCCTGCAAGGTGGTGCCACCTATAAGACCTATATACGTATACAATTTCCAATCACATTAAGTCATACATATGTATACAGTAGTATATCCCCGGTAAACCATATAGTTGTCTGGGGGTCACCATCTTGTGATATTGCCATAGATGGTAAACAACCATCCACTGGTGGCTTAAGTTCGGTGTTTGAAGGCGCGTCGGTCGGTGTGTCAAGGCGCGTCACGACAGACTCTGCCATCCAAGATGCACAAAAACATATATGACAACAAGCTGGAGTAGTCTGAGCATATTAGTTATATATATATATATATATACAGTTATGGCCATTTATCAGTTATAACTGGTTATTTCAGTGGGATTATACATTCTATAAATGGGGTGACTTCTTAGTACTTATAACTGGTATAACTCGGGCCATAACTGTATATACCCAAACATCTATTGGCTCATCTTTTTGCGATCCACATAGCCGATAGATGACCCGCGCCTTTTCCACAATGCGACTGGTTGGGGAGAAGTTGGGAGCTATGGTAATCTATTTACCCCATTAGAGTTTCCTATACTATACACATGATAGTTATTGTTCTTGCTAAATTTTAATTCTTTGCTGTCCTGTTTGTTGTATACATCCCCCAGATGTGATATATAAATGTAGATATATTTAGATGAATCATTGACCGCATTGGGAGGTAGGAATGATGGTTAGGATTGGGGGAAGCATCCCCGAATGGCCACAAGTTTTATATACTTATTTTCAGATTCGTGAATTATTACAAGTCAGTTAGATAGAATTAATTGGTATAATTGCTGGATATTTTTTTCATGGGTATAATTACAATTCAGTCAGACATCATTCATGGAATTATTACAAGTCAGAATTGTGAATTATTACCCTCTGGTAAATTAACATAGACCCTGAAAATCACCAATTTTTAATGGAAACTAGTCTTCCAACCCCTATCTGCCAGGGTCTATGTTAACTTACCAGAGGGTACAACCCATGAGTTTGCTGGATTTGTTCCGGAAGAACTCCACAGAGCCATAGATGAAGCCCAGCGCAGGATAGCGGTGGAGGAGTGGTGAATGTCCCTCAGCGCGACCTGAGTTTTTTGTGCGGAGAAATTGGGACCTTGAAGCTACCCTCTACGGATAGTAACGGGATAAATGGGATACATAATTGGAATATATGGTAAAATATGGGGTCATAATGGTCACTAATGGCCTATTTTATGGTTGATAATGAACCAATAACCAACAAAAATGAATGATGGATAATTGGAATTTGGAATACCTTCTGGTGGTTTATTCAACAGCTATGGGGCCCATTAACGATTTCGTTGGATCCTTGTTGGCGAAGTTTTTTTCTGCTGGTTGGGCTGATTCTGGGTAGATTCATATCGATGCTTTATGGGCTGAAACTAAACCAAGAAACATTCACTGGGGCAGCCTCAACTCCTGGTTTTGATCGATGAAATGTAAGGATTCGATCAGATCCATCCCGGATGGGCCGATGGGCCTGGAGTGGATTCATCCGAGGTTTCTCCCCAGCGATGTTTGCTGCTGGAAAGTTGACCCAGTTTTTGCTATTGCGATTGAATGGCCATGACCCAGGAACCCAAATTGAAGGTACCTACCATATATAAGGCCTATTTTTCAGGGCTATGTAAGGGGATATATCGGATATACCCCCAAAATATGGCCTAAAAAATGGTACAGTACCTCCATTTTAGGATCCTGGAATTCCCATTGATATATGGAGGTTTCCTAAGTCATGGGGGTATCCCTTTATCGCTGGATGGCTTATTTCATGGAACATCCTACTGACATGGATGATAACTAGGGGTACCACATAGGAAACCCCCATATACCATAGACCCAACACTTAACCTGGTCATGATAAGCATTCGCTAACATGGGCACCAGCCTGCACGTGCAGGGGCATTAGGCTTGGCCGATCAAGCCATCGACATGAATATTCTTTGTTCTGCATTAAAGGGCGGAATAAAAGACACAAAACAGCGCAACACATCAGATGCCTAAATGGCTCACCTTAGTTCTTGATAAACTGTGCCAAACTATTCTACTTGTGGGAACTACACTTTGAAACGAATGTGTAGCATTTGTTACAATGCTTATATGACTAAGAATTGTGGGAGTGGACCAAGCTTGGAGTCAGCCGGAGGATTACTATGCTACCAAACACTTCCTGCTCGTAATCATTTTGGTTTGGTACCCCAAACTGGCATTAGCAATAAAGATACAAAAAATACCGTCTATTGATGATGTTTTGTACATTCTTCGAATTCAAGCACCATATCTGAACAACATTTGTGTTTAAAAATAAACATCTGCAAATCATATTGAAGTCTCATGAACACCGGGCAGCCAAAAGCCATGAGTCTCAATATTGAAATGGTCATTCAAGATATGTTCCAATCGACATCTCAGGCTAGGACCAAGGTAGTGGAGCATACCGGTGCCTGCGTTGCGCAAGGTTAGGTTAATACATCCCATTAAAAAAAAAACAGATAATGATTGTCAGATATTTCATCAGCATAAACCCAAGAGTTAGCTTAGTCATTTGTTTTAATCTTAGCTAATTAATCCCAAATAACATTAAACTATCACCATGTTTGCTGGTAAAATAATCCTGTCCCCTGAAAAAAAATAAGCAACACACAGATGGTTCCAAATAAGTATAAGTCCCCTGCTGGACTATATTTTCTAGGTTGTGTTTAGAATTAGGGCGAAGGGATTCCCTAACTTAACTAAGTCAACCATGTTTCTTGTCCCATTGAAATCCCATGAAATTTCATTAAACCACCATGTTTGATGGTAAAATAGCCAACTTATGGAGTTTATACCCTCTGGTAAACTAACATAGCTATGGAAAATCACTATTTTTAATGGGTAAATCCACTATAAATGGGCCATTTTCAATAGCTTTTTGTTAGTTTACCAGAGGGTAACGCAGTTTAAATCGATAGATCTACCAGTCGTTTGTGAAAAAATCTCAGGTGGCCCAGGAGGAGTGCAACATGTCGGCTGTGCCGCTTGGCTCATGTGAAAGCACGGATTCTTGTTGGGATTTACAGTGGTTTTACCATGAAAATATGGGATTTCATGAGAATTAACCATGGAAACATGATGATTTATTTGGATCTGATCGAAACATGTTGACAAAACACTGGCATTTTGGTTGCATCTTCACACCCCTTGGGGATTTCCATGGAGATTTACTAATCGAATGACCCGTCGGGATGTCATGGGGATGTCATGGGACTAACAGTTACATGAGGATGATGACCTGATCAAATGTCCCATTTTCATCCCATTTTCCCAGAAAAAAATGTCGTAGATGATAATGTCGTAGGGTGATTTTAGTGGATTTTAGTGCGCCCTCTAGTTTACTCATAGGGTGCCAATTTTAGTACTGATTGTTTGTGCTGGTTTAACCACATTTTAAGCTGCTTGTAGCTGAAATCATCATGTTTGTCGTGGATCAATGAAATCCGGGGTTTTCGCTACAAAGTGGGGCCCCTAAGTTACAAGTTGGACTAATGTAACTGCTTCGATATATTACTATGACCCCCAACCCAACACTTATGATAGTTATGTTCACCAACTTAGCTAAGTATAAATCGGCGAAGTATAAATTCCCCTAACCAATAATCAACCCAACAATATATGATTATGTTCATCAACTTACCTAAGCATAAATCGGCTATAAATCTCATTCAATCCCACATTTGCTGGGTTAATTCGCATATTCCTATGGTTTTCCTATGGTTTTCCTTTGGTTTTCCTATGGTTTTTCTTGGGGCCCCGAGTGGTTTTCCCGTGCAGCCACGGACTCCACGGTGGAGTCGCCGGCCAGGAATGTGCTGCAGGGCTGGAGCTTCTTGGGGCAGATCAGCGGGTCACAGGTGGACGTCCAGGGTTTGGCTGAAAATAGTGTACCCCTAAACCCAATGGTTTTGCTGATCATTATCCCTACTAAATGGCTATAATTGGGGGTATACCTCATTTTAGTTATATATATATACAGTTATGGCCATAAAAATCAGTTATAACTTGTTATTTCAGTGGGATTATACATTCTATAAATGGGGTTTTCTTAGTACTTATAACTGATAAATGGCCATAACTGTACCAACTGTAGATCAGATACAGGATACCAACTGTGGATTTGATACCAACTATAGCTCATGATTTTTTATATCAATAACTAGTTATCAACTTATTGATAGACTGGTTGGTGGTTTGGAATATGTTTGTCTTTTTCCCATCATATTGGGAATGTCATCATCCCAACTGACTTTCATATTTTTCAGAGGGGTTGAACCCACCAACCAGATTAGATACAGGATGGGGCCCCCGTTCGATAACGTTCAGTTGCCGAACATCAGTGGCTGAATTCTATGGATTTAGATGTAACGAACTAGTTCATGGGGTTTATAAACCAACTTAAAACTGGGGGGCACCATCCTGTAGTATATGCTGGAGAGAGATATCACATATATATATATATACATATATATATATACACAGAGTTATATGATATATCAATAAATATATACATTTTACACATATATATATATATATATACGTATATGGGTATTAGAGATATGATTGATAACTATATATGATATAACTATAATTAGAGAATGTGATGGAAAACAGAACACATATATATATATAATGATATATAAATATACATGAATGTATAATATTGATTTGAACATATGTTAGAGATATTCAGAGATACAATGAATGTTGTTTTTTCTCCAGCTATTGTTTAGAGATAACTATAGTGAACATGACTAGGTGAATTTGATGGTTTGTGAACTATGCAAAACTACTATCAACGCTAGTTATATGGCTTATAATGGTTACAGGTTAGTATATCAGAACTATGTGATAGGCTTACAATGGTTTTTCACTATCGAAATAATTGATGTATATCATATATATATATATACAGAACTATATATCGAATAACTATCGAAAGAAAAATATATTAATATATTACAATAAACAATGGCTTGTAATAATTGCTATATATCGGTTTTATGGTGTATATAAAGCATATATATATATATCGAACTTGTTAATCGGGTTTATACCACCAACAAACATAACTGGGTGGGCACCATCTTTTGTGTCCAACTGTTTTTTTCCCCACCTGCCAGGTGAGGGTTGTTAGATTTTATGTCAGTTGCCTCCTCCTCCTGCTCCTCCTCCTCCTCCGCCTCCTCCTGCCTCGTCCTGCCTCGTCCTCCTCTCCTCCTCCTCCTCGTCCTCCTTGTCATCCTTGTCGTCCTTGTCGTCCTCGTCGTCCTCGTCGTCCTTGCTCAACTGCGACCCGCGATCCACAGTGTTCTCTGCCGGACCTCAACCACGACCACCCACGCCCAGTGTTCCCTGCCGGACCTCAACCACGACCATCCACGCCCAGTGTTCCCTGCCGGACCTCAACCACGACCATCCTCGCCCAGTGTTCAGTGTTCCCTGCCGGACCTCAACCAACCACGCCCAGTGTTCCCTGCCATCCACGCCCAGTGTTCCCTGCCGGACCTCAACCGCGAGTATCCACGCCAAGTGTTCCCTGCCGGACCTCATGTAGGAAGATAAAATGTCAGATAGAGTGCCAGAAGATTTGCCAGGTAGAATGCCAGAAAATATGCCAGATATGCCAGATATGCCAGATGCCAGATAGAATGCCAGAAGATATGTGCCAGAAGAATGCCAGATATGCCAGATAGAATGCCAGATAGAATGCCAGATAGAATGCCAGAAGATGCCAGAATATATGCCAGAAGATATGCCAGAAGAATGCCAGAAGATATGCCAGATAGATGCCAGAAGATATGCCAGATAGAATGCCAGAATATGCCAGATAGAATGCCAGAAGATATGCCAGAAGATATGCCAGATAGAATGCCAAATAGAATGTCAGAAGATATGTCAGATAGAATGCCAGAAGATATGCCAGAAGATATGCCAGATAGAATGCCCAAATAGAGATAGAATGCCAGAAGATATGCCAGAAGATATGCCAGATAGAATGCCAAATAGAATGTCAGAAGATATGTCAGATAGAATGCCAGAGATATGCCAGATATGCCAGATAGAATGCCAAATATGCCAATCATGTCAGAAGATATGTCAGATAGAATGCCAGAAGATATGCCAGAAGATATGCCAGATAGAATGCCAAATAGAATGTCAGAAGATATGTCAGATAGAATGCCAGAAGATGTGCCAGTAAGAACATGTATAAATGTCATGGTGGGGATCACACGAAGTAAAGTAATTTTTAAGTCATCGTGGATCCCCAATATTTGTTGGTTGATGGTGATAGAAGGTTTTACTTCTTGATATATGGAGGTTTCCTGTTCAATAGGGCTTCAATTTAAAAAAATCTTCGAATTTCCTAAAATATGGGATTTTTCAAGCCTCAAAAAAACGCCATTGTTAAGAAAACCTCCATGAAAAAAATGGGTTCCACAATGGCGATTTTTTATTTATTGATGTTAGCGATGACCGTATCGCCTATTAAAAATAAGGATTATCCCATAATTCCATGCGATTATCCCATGGTTGTTTCAATACTAGGTCATCCTTGATGTTCACCTGGATGATTTTTTTTTGGTACATCCATCACAACTAGGAAAACTCCAGAAATTGATATCTCTGTCTGTAGTTGGTATAACTCTGTAGTTGGTATACTCTCACCAATGTTCCATCAAATTACCCGTTATATCTCATAGTTTTTCTTTTTCTTGTTGATGGATGTTAATGGGGATTTAACCTAACCATGGGATATCTATGGAATATTGATGAGATATCATGGGTAATTTTATGGGACAATTGCGAAATTTTCATGACAAAGAAAGTGGCAGACGGGGCATTACTGTGATCTTACCGACGAAGCAGGTGCATCAGTTGTAACTGGATTATATATATATATATTCATACATGTATGATATATATATATATATATGGTCTCGTGTTCCGTGTTCCTACCCCCCCAATGGTATGGGTCCCCAGGTGGCACTCCGTTCCCTTCTATTTACAAGCTATTGGCAGCATTTCTGAGTTCCAGCCTCGTATTTGCTAGGTTTTGCAACGATTCTGACTACCAGCCTCGCATTTACTAGGTACATGCTACGTTTTAGACGACATACATAGCACACATACTCCCTCAAAGTACCTACGTGCTACCTACACTTATATATATACATGTGCTATGTATCTTCTTCCTATATATATATATAATATATATATACACATACAAATATATACACACACAAATTCATATTTATACATATATATTTACATATATATATGTATATATTCATATACATATATATATATATACACTTACATACATATATATACTTGTGAAAACATTTAAATAAATAAATAAATATATATATATATATATATTGTATACATGTATACTTATTTATATATATATACATACATACATACATGCATACATATTTACATATAGATATTTTAACACATAAGTTTAATATACATATAAATAAATAAATAAACAATTAAATAAATATATATATATATGTATGTATACATATATATATATATATATATATATCCACACGCCCACCACACCACAGGGGGGGAGGAGGACAGCACCACACCCCCACTACACCACAGGGGGGGGACGGGGACAGTACTATGGCTGACCCATGACCATGGGGGGGAGGGGGGTTGGAACGCTGGACCATATATATATATACACATATATATATATCTATTCATGTATATATACATATTTATATATACATATGTATATATATAATATAAGCCAACTTTGAATTTTTCCAATGAACTTAGCATTCTGGACATGATTGCATGCTGAGTAACCAACCAACTACCTAACCAGCTAGTTTAACTGAGCCTATGGATACGTTGACAGAGACATAACCATCTAAGCATGTAACCAATACACGAAGTAACTCGCTACCCACCTACCTATCCAACTAAAAATCAAACTAGCGAGTCCACCAAGCCTCCAGCTCGCCAACTAACTGATTAACTAACCAACCCAAGTGCCCAACCAAAATACTGCACTGTGGGGCCCCGTCGATAACTAAGTTGGCAAACATGACTCCAAGAACTATGGTTTGCGATATTTTTGACAATAGTATTCATGGGGTCTATAAATCAACAAACATACATTGGTTTATTACCCCTATTAACTCTAGTTATAGTATGTTATTAATAGTTATATCCTCCTGCTAAGTTATGTGCTTCAACTTCGCAAAATCCCATTGTTCATCCCATGGTTCCACCTATGTCTGGTTGGGAAAAGGCTCACCTTATAGACACCCAGTGCCTGCCTCCATTGTTTGCTGTTCACGAATGATTTATACAGTGATGGCCCAACTAACACTTATTTTTATGGAATTATTTTGTATAACCTCAATTTTAGGACTTATAATCCCATTTGGAACTGTTAAGGGCCACAACTGCATCATGTATCTAAATCAATTGTTAGTGATTTTCCATTGATAACCCATCGAATCACATTAACTCACAAATCATTTATCATGTATCTCAGTCCCATTAACCTTCCATTGGTTACCATTGGTTATCCCATTAAATCCATTGAATCTTGTTGTTCCTAGCTATGTGTCATTCCTCACCAGTTTGCAAAGCCGGTTGCCCTTAGGGCCGGCGCGTGCAATGCCTTGCTACTGGTGCATTCCTACCAGTAGCGGGCATGTGGGGTGGGCACATGCATGTTGGTCAATGCTGGCTGAGTGTGTGAAACTATGGTTATCAGCCGCATCGCAAAATATCGGTGCGAACTGTGAGACTTTAGGGGCCCAAATCCGGGGGGCCAAAAGCCTGGATGTTCCAGCCGCTCGGGCGCCACACATTAGGGTCTGGTGGCTCATACCCTATAGGGCCGCGAGCGTGACCTTGCTCCACTTGCTTTGCCAATTGTTGAGAACAAGGGCGTCAAAGCAGCTAAGTGAACTGCGAGTTCCTCATGCAGCATGGAAGTGAGGTGAGTGCAAGAGCGCCTGCGTGTTGTCGCTACAGCATGGGTTCTGGTGGTCTTACCATGCAATACAGCGATGTTTGTGTAGCAGGGCACCCTGCAAACTGCTCTCAGAAGGCGGGGGGTTGTTCCTAGCTATGTGTCATTCCTCACCAGTTTGCAAAGCCGGTTGCCCTTAGGGCCGGCGCGTGCAATGCCTTGCTACTGGTGCATTCCTACCAGTAGCGGGCATGTGGGGTGGGCACATGCATGTTGGTCAATGCTGGCTAAATGTGTGAAACTATAAATCTTCATCGGTTTTCAAAATGACCATCCGTTGATCATCCATTGATCCATCCATTGTGATTGAAAGCAATTGATCATCAAGTGATATGATTGATCTTCCATTGGTCCATTTATTTCATGATATTTCATGTATCTAAATCCATTGATCATCCATTGAATTCCACCATTTTGTTGGATGAAGAACAATGGATCAATCAGGGCAGTTGTTGTTCAACTATTGATTCATCAGTTTCATTGTTATTAATATTGATATTCCATTCATTTTCCATTGGTCATCCCATTAAATCACACATATCATGTATCTAAAACCAAGTCATCTTCCATTGGTTATCCCATTGGTTATCATGATCATCCATACAAATCATTTCAAATTATCATGTATCTCAGTCCCATTAATCTTCCATTGGTCATCCCATTTCATCAACCAGTCCCAGCGCCAGGTTCTGATGGGCCAGCTGGTGGGAACTGTGACAACTGACGAAGTCAGGTGGTCTAATCAAGCCATCTGGGTCTGGACCCCAAAAGCTGGGGACATGTCATGGGGGATGGTGCAGGAAAAATTCTGGGTTTTATGGGACGTAGCCATCAAAAATGGCGGAATTCATGGGATTTAGCTAATAAAATGGTGGATTTAACTATATAGCAAGCATGGTGAGTCAACGGAACTTAAGCAAACCATTGGATAGTTTTTTTTAAAGAACACTATATAGTGTTTAGACTTAGTTAGATAACAATTAAATAGTCATGATGAAATAATTATATATCCATGTTGATTTCTATTTAATTGTTATTTCATCAGCACAATTGGATAGGGATGTGTAAGAGGGATTGTAAGATGGGTTTGATTAAGGAATGAGAGGTTGAAGCAACAAAAGTGAGGTGTGAAACGACAATATGGGGGGTCCCATAAATGAGGGTACCCCAAAATGGATGCTTTATAATGGAAAATCCTGGATGCCCCATTTCAGGAAACCTCCATATATGGGTTGAACCAAATAACTTGTGTATCTAATGTAAGCAGTTTGGTTATGTCCAACATCGGGGTTTGAACAAAGACAAACAAAGTTTATCTGTTTGTATGGGCAGATGAGAAACTCCTTAGAGAAAAAAATCGGGTTTAAACGCTTGATCCATACTGCAAAGTTATGTTCAGTATTGTTTGTTTGGTTTTCAATACAGTATCTGTATTTGCAACGCCTCAACTTGGTGTTTGTTTCAATTCCCTATGTTGTTGTTGTTCTCGAAACTACCTAAATTGATGATGAATGTTATCATTAAGATTGATGATCATCATCGACTAAACGAAAGCATCGGTTGAAACTACGAACCAGCAACACGCCGAATGCTGGATGGTCGCAACAGTTTTGCACAAACAGTTTTGCACAACAAGCAGTTCAGCCTCTCAATCACCAAGCAGTTTTGCACAACAAGTCGTGTGAGGTTCGTCTCATGGACAATGATCTGAACAGGTACATATTATATCCAGTTGGGTGTAGATGTATTTAATACCAGGATGCACATATGTATAAGCAAACGCAGATATTGTACGGAATATCGTATATATGAAATTGCATGAATGCATAGCATCCCCTGTCTATATATATATTTACAATGATATGTATATGTGATATTTCATAATATATACATATGCAATGCATTATATATATAACATGCAATATATAACTATAGCAGTTTCAATCTTTTGGAACGCTTCATTGAGTGAAAACACCCTCTGTTTAGTTCGCAGCCATGGACACTAGCGGCCGGGTGCGCCGGGGAGGGACAGATGACTCCACGGACTCGGAATTTGGAAGAAAACGGTTTCTTGGTGCATCGAGTCTGGTGACTGGGGGATGGTTTATGTCACTGTTTTACCCACATCCAATTTATGGGAAAAACTATGACGGAAACCATGGCTAAAAAACTTTGTAGCTTCAGGGGGTTCCCGTTTGCGGGCTTTCCAATGTTGGATTCAGAGAAGATCCATGGTGGGTAGTCTCTTCCCGACCTTTCCCCCTGGACCCGCCCCCGAGGCGAAGATCCGAATGTGCCTCGCATGCGCCTCATGAAGCAAGGGAAGGAAAGCCTTTGGAGATCAAAGGCTTGGATGGATCTACCTTTGAGCTGCAGGTTGACAATGATGCAACTGTGGAAGACATGTACAGATACACCTCGGAGAAAATTGGCCTGAAACCAGGCAGAAAATTGTTGCTGACTTCGGGCTGCACGTTCCTGGATTATTCCAAACTGCTGCTGGAGCAAGTGCAGGGTAGGGAAATTAGTTTCATTGTCCAAAGAATCAGTTTGAATGACTTTGTAACCAGTTTTTGGAGCGCCATCGAAGCTGAGACCAAAGAAAGTATGACTCCTGAAGATGTGAACACATTACGTGCAGCTGCAATTGTTTCAATTCACTTTGGCGCAGGTTTCCAGAAGAGTTTGGAAGGTATCACATTGCCAAGCAGCTTGCAGACCTTGACCTTTGGGGATGATTTCAATCAAAGCATGGCAGGTGTTGCGTTGCCAAGCAGCCTGCAGACCTTGACCTTTGGATTTTCGTTCAATCAAAGCTTGGCAGGTGTCGCGTTGCCAAGCAGCCTGCGGACCTTGACCTTTGGGGTTGATTTCAATCAAAGCATGGCAGGTGTCGCGTTGCCAAGCAGCCTGCAGACCTTGACCTTTAGGGGTGATTTCAATCAAAGCATGGCAGGTGTCGCGTTGCCAAGCAGCTTGCAGACCTTGACCTTTGGGGATGATTTCAATCAAAGCATGGCAGGTGTTGCGTTGCCAAGCAGCCTGCAGACCTTGACCTTTGGAGACAATGAGTCTGAGTTCAATCAGAGTTTGGCCGGTGTTACCTTTCCAAGCAGCCTGCAAAACTTGACCTTCGGACGTTCGTTCAATCAAAGCTTGGCAGGTGTCGCGTTGCCAAGCAGCCTGCAGACCTTGACCTTTGGGGATGCTTTCAATCAAAGCATGGCAGGTGTCGCGTTGCCAAGCAGCCTGCAGACCTTGACCTTTGGGGACGATTTCAATCAGAGCATGGCAGGTGTCGCGTTGCCAAGCAGCCTGCAGACCTTGACCTTTGGGTTTGAATTCAATCACAGTTTGGCAGGTGTCGCGTTGCCAAGCAGCCTGAAGACCTTGACCTTTGGGAGTAGTTTCAATCAAATAGTGGCAGGTGTCACATTGCCAAGCAACCTGCAGACCTTGACCTTTGAGTTTGAGTCTGAGTTCAATCAGAGTTTGGCAGGTGTCACGTTGCCAAGTAGCCTGCAGACCTTGACTTGTGGGGATGAGTTCAATCAAAGTTTGGCAAGTTTTTCATTGCCAAGCAGCCTGCAGAACTTGACCTTTCGCTTTTCGTTCAATCAAAGCTTGGCAGGTGTCGCGTTGCCAAGCAGCCTGCGGACCTTGACCTTTGGGGTTGATTTCAATCAAAGCATGGCAGGTGTCGCGTTGCCAAGCAGCCTGCAGACCTTGACCTTTGGAGACAATGAGTCTGAGTTCAATCAGAGTTTGGCCGGTGTTACCTTTCCAAGCAGCCTGCAGAACTTGACCTTTGGATTTTCGTTCAGTCAGAGTTTGGCAGGTGTCGCGTTGCCAAGCAGCCTGCAGACCCTGACCTTTGGGGATGCTTTCAATCAAAGCATGGCAGGTGTCGCGTTGCCAAGCAGCCTGCAGACCTTGACCTTTGGGGATGAGTTCAATCAAAGTTTGACAAGTTTTTCATTGCCAAGCAGCCTGCAGAACTTGACCTGTGGACGTTCGTTCAATCAGAGTCTCGCAGGTGTCACATTCCCAAGCAGCCTGCAGAACTTGACCTTTGGGATTGATTTCAATCAGAGATTGGCTTGTGCTACCTTTCCAAGCAGCTTGCAGAACTTGACCTTTGGGGATGCTTTCAATCAAAGCATGGCAGGTGTCGCGTTGCCAAGCAGCCTGCAGACCTTGACCTTTGGGGATGCTTTCAATCAAAGCATGGCAGGTGTCGCGTTGCCAAGCAGCCTGCAGACCTTGACCTTTGGGGACGATTTCAATCAAAGCATGGCAGGTGTGGCGTTGCCAAGCAGCCTGCAGACCTTGACCTTTGGGTTTGAGTTCAATCAAAGTTTGGCAAGTTTTTCATTGCCAAGCAGTTTGCGGACCTTCGGCCTTGGAAGTTCATTCGATCGGAGTCTTGCAGGTACCACATTAGTGCAAGCTGCCTGCAGGCCTTGACTTTGTTTGTTTGGTCTTGGCTCAGTGTCTCCATAGTGTGCAACAAGTTTTTTGGCAGGATGCAATAGTTGGACCTTTTCAAATACGAAAGGCGGAAAAAGACGGAAAGATGGGCTGGTCAATTTAAATGATTGATTGGAGAGTTTTTTTTAACAACACCCCGTACCAATCAAAATCCAACACATCTCAAAACATCATTGTAAACTCTGGTCCCGGTTCCACATCCTGTTCCCACACCACTTGATTGTGCAACATTGTTGTTTTTTGGTGGCTGCACCCGTAACCCCTTCTGAACGTTCCTCCGCTCACCAAATCAAAAACCTGCGGTTAGTTCTTATTATTAGGTGGGTTTTAAACTGAAATTGTCCACTTTAGACTGAATCAAAAGCCTTATTTTTAGATGTATTTTAATCCACGCCTAAAAACTGCTCTCGAATTTTTCACGGAATCAAAGCCTTAACAATTAAAACACATTTCTTTTTTTGGTCAGGGACCCTAACAATAAAACGCCCCGCAACCAATTAGTTGTCATTATTCAGGGGTGAAACCTTCAAATGGGACCCTGATTTTACAATTGTGTTCTACAGGGGATCAAGTAATAATCAAATTGACCAATCTATTTTTTCCCAAAACCATTGTGGTGTTTATGATTTATATAAGGGAGGTTTAGTAAAAGGAAGAAAGTCATGGGGGTATAAAGGCAACAATGATTGATGGGCATATAATTACTGGGGTATGATGGGAAATCACGAGGCGGGTTCGTCCAGAAATAGAAATGGTGTATTGCCCCCCAAACCTGGGTAAATTATAACGACCTCACTGTTCTCCCGAACCCCTGGAATCATGGTTAATAACGGAAATCATCCCCAATATAGTCTTATTTCAGGTTAGTGATTGTTTTTTAATTTACCCAGATAATATGTCCTTTTTTCCGTTGGTTCATAAATAGGGTTCCCCCCCTCAATAGATATTGTAGCAACTAGGCAAATGATGGTGTTGGAAATGCTATTCCAAATGGGCATTTTCTTTGCCCAAATGTACATCGTCCAAACACAAAGAATCTATATTGGGATCCCGATCCAGTCTAAGATTCCTTATTCAAATCTTCTAGCTGTGGAACGGAGGTTCTCTGTCCACATGCAAAGATGATCAAACATATGAAATCTGCTTGGTGCTTTGGAACCTTTTTTTTATTTTTCCATATGTGAATGTCATCATCCCAATTGACCAACGTTTCCCAATTTTTCAGAGGGATAGGCTCAACCACCAACCAGAAATGTGCGTGGACTACTGGAGACCTGATGATTTTCGTTGTGGACGACCATAATAAGACACAACGAAATGACTTAATGATCATTGAACCATTGAAGCATGATATGGGTATATAGTCCTGAAACCACCATCAAGGAGAAAAACGTTCAAACGTATTGAGAAGTTGGGATCGCCAAGGTCCGGCGAGCAGCGAGCCGCGTCGGGGAGACAAAAAAAGTCACGAGCCATGCGCCCTGCGCTGGAAGCATGGCTGTAGCAGGGACGGGATGTTCATCCTACCAACATAAAAACCTATTATATTCTTTCATTATATATATATATATTATATATACTATATTGTTGGGGAATTCACATCCATTAACCAGCTATTTTAGGGTACCAGGGTTTTGACCCATAACCATAGCTTGCATAGGTCTTTGTCGAAAGATATGGTACAGCTATCACATGATTTTTTTGCAATTATAAATTGTGCAAACTTAACATTTAAGAACCATAACTTTAATTTGGGGTATACTGTATACCAACACTTTCTGACACTCTCCGAAGGTTTTGACCCATCGAAAGGACACCTGTCCCAAATGATCCATATGGCCTTTACTTGGGGTATGTTGATGCGTTGAGCATTTTGTTCAATTTGTTTCACCAGCAACGAGTCACAATCGATGGGACTTCTTGGTTCTTCACCAACCAAATGATTCACATGAATATCGACATAGACATATTCGATTTTCAAAAATCGTTACTATCCTACTGGATATGTTACTGGATATGTTGATAGTTACTGGATATGTTTCACTTTGATAGTTTGTTACTGGAAAAAAAGATCCACTCTCGAGTTGTGTTCGGTGTAGAAGTTGTCTAATCGTCTCTGGGCGATGGTATACCAAGCTTTTTATCGATAGTTAAGTTGGTGAACAAAACTCCAATTATCATTAATGGTTTTCGGATGTTTAATTAATCTGAAAAATGGATGTGAAAATGGTATTTTAAGTAAGTCTTAATTATAAACTATATGGATCTATATACTTAATGGGCCTTATAAACAAATTTATAGCTGGCTGGGGGGGTCCATATTGTATGAAAGGCGCTACGAAAGCTGCCAACTCCAATTCAGGACCGAGATTGAACCAGACTTGTTAAATTGTGATCCAGAAAATAACCCAAGTCTTGGTTCACTTAAACATTATGGTTTTACGGTGGATAGAACTACTGGTTGGTGGTTTCAAACATTTTTTAATTTCCATAGTATATGGGATAATCATTCCCAGTGACTAATATTTTTCAAGATGGTTAAAACCACCAACCAGACTATATTTTACTCACTCATTTCTATAGGTCTGCAAATTATTGCTAGTGTTGGTGTTTTGCTGACATCAACCGAGGCAGTGCCGCTTGGTTACACTACGTTGTTCATTCGATATGGCACGTGTTGCTCAAGGCACGAGTTGCAATTTCTCATGAGCAGAAGCAACGTTTGACACGTTTGAGAATGCACATAGTCCCCAAGCCAGACCACATAGCTATCCTCCCCACGCCGCAGGGAAAAAACATTGAAAAAAAACATCACAATTGTTGCAATGTAAAAGAGACCTTAAGCATACCAAAACCAAAATTTGATATGTTTGACGAGTTTCTTCACATTTCCAGCCACGAGTTTTAAGGCCCCATCTTTGGGCTATAGTAAGGTTCCCATCGTTGGGTTCCAAACACAAAGCTCTTCCACATCATCGCGCGGCGTTTCGTACCACGGCACGACGCGCCATCGTCGAGTTTCCGTTGGGGAAGAGCCAAGAGAGCTCTTTGAGACGGGCGGACGGTGGCCATGTTTGGCGCAGCTTGGATTAAGTCAAAGCCGTGGTAGCTTGAATGGATTGCAGCGCACCTGCAACCACAACAAAAAAAGATGAACTGATTATCTTCCGCCGCAAACGCAAAAGTTTTAAGTACTGTAATATATCTTATCAACGAACAAAGCTCGCTATGGGGCACCCCACTTTGCATTTTATTGTTGGTTCAAGTACTCCTATTTGAACACCTCACCTCCTTCCATGATGTTCCCTTTGTGTATCAAACATGATTAGCGAGCCCCCAGGAATCTATATAATTCTATTTGCATCATTTACCTGGTGGCACTTGTGGTGTTTCAGCCATGCGTGTTTACTCTCGGGTATTCATGTCTTGTGCCTTGTTGTGCCCCGAGAAATGCCAGTTACAAGTTGGTTTACAACCCCATGATCCAATGTAAATATATATATATATATAGTTATATCCCCTTTGGACCCTTATTGTTTTTTTTTATTATTACTATTATCATTTTTATGATTATTTATATATATATATATGCACGTAGAACTAAACCAACTTAGCGTAAACGCGGGCCCCACCTTGCATCAACCCAGCTGTAGTTTTGGCAATGACAGAAGGTGAGTGAGCAGTTTGAGATGATCGTTATTTCAACCAATTGTGATCAGCACTCAACTGTCATCTGTGGCCAAATTTGAAGGATCACGGATATCTGGTTGGTGGTTTGGAACATTTTTAATGTTCTATATATTTGGAATAACAACTTCAACTGACTTTCATATTTTTTTTTCAGAGGGGTAGCTTTACCACCAACCAGATATCATGGCGTACCAGGACACATAAAAACTACCAAGCTACGCCGCACAAGAAGTCGTCCAAGATGGTGTCTTCAGAGGTGCTCAAATCATCCCAAAGCTGGCCTCCAAAAACCCCCAAAATCATGGACATAGATCGGAAAAAAATAAACATCAGGATCCTACAATGTGGGGTCCCAAAAAACGTTATAAATTGGCTTATAAGCCCTATGAATACCATAGTTATTTGCGTATCACAAACCATCGTGAAATTGGACTCGTTGGACTAAAGTGATGTGAAGAATGACGGTTCTATCTTTTTTGTTGGGAGCAACTATATCGTAGTGTAACAGGTTTTTTCTCCAATAAAAATCCTGGCATGTCCCATGGGTATGTATATATATATATATATGTATATCCAGCATTTAGGAAATGATTGCAACCTTCCCAAAAGATAGGAACCCGCCAGTTTGTAGACCTATCCAACGGATTGTAACTGATTGCAATATTATCATCATATTACCGCCATAAATCCTAGTTGTCAACTTTGATGATAGGTGATATATGATATGCAACTGTATCTATGATGTGCATAATATCAATGGTTAGTTGTCAATAAGTTGACCCTAGGCAACTATAGCTCATCATAGTATCAATAACTAGTTATCAACTTATTGACAGGCTGGTTGGTGGTTTCGAACATTTTGTATTTTTCCATTTTGGGAATAATCATTCCAACTGACTAATATTTTTCGGAGTTGAAACCACCAACCAGATAATATCTAGCTCAACTTTATCAACTTTTTCACCTGGCCTAGGCACTCGCGGAATGCTTTGGTTTGAGCGCGGAGCCTCAGAGATAGCAGGCTGCTGCTGGCTATGGTGACAAGCAGCCCTGGTAAATAGACAGATGGTACATCTACAATATGGGCCCTTTTTCGATAGCGTTCAGTTGCTTTCCAAGTGGTTGAATTATATGGTTTGTTGGTCAAGTCTGGTTCATGGGACATATACCATCATATAAGTTATAGTAACTATAGTTAACTTGGCAAACTGCCTATGATAAGTTAATGAAACTATATAGTAACTAAAGTCCATGTGGTTTATCAACCAACTTTTAGCTGGGCACCACCCTGTATGAAAGTGATCTATAATTAGTTAGTAAATTGTTTTTTCAAAAACATAGACTATATATGTATATTTACATATATATACAATGTAATGAATAGATTAGTTAGATAGATAGATGGATAGATAGATAGATAGATAGATAAATAGATAGATGGATAGATAGATAGATAGGTAGATGGATGGATGGATAGATGGATTGATAGATAGATGGCTGGATAGATAGATGGATAGATAGATAGATAGCTTGGCGCCTGAATGTGTGTCCGTTCAGTTACTCTGCAGGTTGTAGCTGCGACGTGAGGGCCGCAGACGCCGCGGAAATTAAAATCACGAGCGACGCTCCAGAGGCACAAAGCCAAGGGCGAAGTCAATGGGTCATGACATGGTACCTTTTGGGGAAGTCATGGATGATGAAAATAGAGGGGTTTGAAGGTTTACCCCTTTAACAACAGGTAAAGATTGGATTTACAACCATCCATTGTACGGTGATCATATCATGTTTTTTGGGAGATGGTGCTCCAGTTCGGAATAGCTCAGTTGGTTCATGATTAGGTTTGCTCAGTTGGCTTTATGCAGCTCGTTCTTGAAACCAGTATAATAAGTACTGGGGAGCATGGCATTGAATACTGTCTAGTATAATGACTAGATTGTTTGATCGTTTTTTCATGTCTATCATTAAATATTGTTTACATAGTCATTACATGTCAGGCCCCAGTGTTGTCCAAAATATTTACATGTCTATAGATATTACAAGAATATTTATGTTGTTTCAGGAGGATGTCAACAATATTAAACAACAGACAACATTTCAATCAATATCACTTTATGACGTTTAATAATATCATATATAGTTTAGTTGGTTCAATGACGTTTACCCTCTGGTAAACTAACATAACTGGAAAATCACTATTTTTCATTGGAAAATTTACTGTAAATGGTGATTTTCCATAGCTATGTTAGTTTACCATAAGGTAATCAATATCACTTTATGACAGGACGTTTTCCACGTGGCTTTCCGATGATGGACCCTGGGAGTTTCGACCACCTCGCCGTCATCATGGAATATGATATAGGGAATTATCCCAGGTAACCTCAGGTAAACCACGAAATGATTCGAATATCATAGTTACCCTCTGGTAAATTAACATAGACCCTGGCAGATAGGGGTTGGAAGATTAGTTTCCATTAAAACTAGGCTATTTTCAGGGTCTATGTTAATTTACCAGAGGGTATCTATGATTATAATAATGATACCAATCTGATAGTTATGAAGGAAAAACTTGGGAAAAGGAAATGGACCAACATTTCAGGTTTATGACAGATTTGCCCAGGTATATGGAGGAAAAGGATGGAAATGGGCAAACAGAAACAGAAACAATACGTGATATACGTGATATGCGCACTCCGAGGAATACGTATCATAGATATTGAATGGGGAAACCTTGGTGCGGTGCTTTGAGAGTTTGTTCTTTGCCATCAATGCAGATATGAAATGCCAAGGTAAAGATGAATAATCATCTCATTATCCTCATTCCTTCAAGATTTTACGGCAGCGGGAAACATATTCATTAGCCAAAACAACATTGACCACAACGATAACAAAATTATATTTATTCAGGAACACTATCATCATAATTTAAAATAAACCAAAAACATTCTCATTATACATCGTATATTATCATAAAATAATTGTGACCCCATGTATCTTACATGATTTTAGATCATACATTTGCACCATTTACCCTCTGGTAAACATACAAAAAACTATGGAAAATCACCATGCTATCAATGGGTAAATCCACTATAAATCACCATTTTCAATAGCGAACTGTAACAAATGACCAGATGGTATCCAAGCCATGTTAAATGATCCTTTGGCACAGCGTCGAGGCAATCGTGGTGAAAGTTGTAGCTACTCCCAGCACCACCACAGGCTGGACGATCTTCGGATTTGGCAATGGTGGACATGGTTGATAAATCCCTTTGAACAGAAGGATTTCTTCAGCATTTTTAAGGGTTTTGAAATGAAATGCACACGATATGATACATCAAGTGGTTTGTATCATATTATCCTATATATCCCATTATTCACCAAATAGTTTGACTGTAAACAACATTTTTTGCGTTGACATATCCCACACGGTAGGTTACGTTAATCCATGGCAAGGAAAAGGATTATCTGGTTGGTGGTTTGGAACATGAATGGATTATTTTTCAATATATTGGGAACAATAATCCCAACTGACTAATTTTTTTCAAACGGGTTGAAACCACCAACCAGTTTTATAGAAGGATGCGTTTGCTTCCAAAACTGCAGTTTGGGGTTGTAATGTACTTACTAAGTAGGTAAATTAGCTTATAAATAGGCAAGTGCTGGGTGCTTGATATATCTTTGTAGTTGGGTGGATAACGATGCAAATAAGCAACTACATATATAACAAACCGGCAATCATATTTAACGAATTACACAACTCATAACCAACTCGCACTTATATACTTTACCTATACATAAATATATATATATATATATAATGTCTAGCGGTGTACACAGTTTGCGGATGTGGCACTCCCAACCACTCAGCTCATTCACAACCACATACAGGGTGGGCACCCCCATATGAAGCTTGTAACCTCCATGAAAGAACTGGATACGCCTGCCATAAAACCGAGATATTATTTGCTTTCATAAAATATATAGGGAATCATGGTTTGGATATAGGGAATCATCCCAGATAACCTCAGGTAAACCACGAAATCCTTCGAATATCATAGTTATCTATCCCAAATGCTCCATGTATGGAATATTCACCTACATTTACTTCAAAAATTGCCGAAATGCAGGTAAGTATTCCATACATGGAGCATCTGGGATATGGGAACCAACTTCGCAAACCATGGTGTTATCCCATGGTTCAGTCCCAGTCAATCCCAAACATCACGAAACTCTTCGCTGGTGATGTTCACCACAAAGTGGTGCCCCCCAGTGATGTTAGTTGGTTTATAAACTCCATGGACTACAGTTACTATATAGTTTCATTAACTTATCACTGGCAGTTTGCCAAGTTAACTATAGTTACTATAACTTATATCATGGTATATGTCCCATGAACCCGACTTAACCAACAACTTAGCTATCTATGGGGCAGCACCTCGTAACTTACCAAAGTGCCCCAGGCCCCATTCACCGCAGCGACGGCGGCAGGTGCTGAGAGTTTTGGAGATTCTTCACCCGTCAGTGTGTTTGCACGCGTCCCGACCGAGGCGCGGCGGCAGGGCGGAAAGGAGCCATCGTCATTTTCGTGACCTATTGGTACAAACCATCTACAAAAATAAACTATATATAAACCATCTATAACCATCCATAACCATCTTTTCACTGGTTGGTGGTTTGGAACATGAACTTTATGACTTTCCATATGCCGGGAATAAGGTGAACAACTGACTTTCATATTTTTTCGGAGGGGTGGCTCAACCACCAACCAGGTATAGATGTTCCACCTTTAACATGATTGAGCTATATATAAACCATCTATAACTGGTTGGTGGTTTGGAACATTTTTTATCTTCCCATATATTGGGAATAATCATCCCAACTGACTAATATTTTTCAGAGGGGTAGGTATACCACCAACCAGATAACCATCTATCAACAATAACAACCATAAAATAGGACGATTTTTCCATAGCAGATTCATTTAGGACGTTGCTAAAATTCCAGCCAGTCATGGGGATCCATGGGACACGAATCTCGTTAAAAATTTGGGCGACTAAAGGTGATGACTATGAATATTTTGGCTCGTCATATGATTTTAACAGTTATTTAATAAGATTTAATCATGTTTAATGTGAATATGATTTGATTTTCTACATAGATTTAAAATGCATATGTTCGAGAAAACTAAGCACAATTGACAATGGGAAAGCATCGCTGTTTGTTTTCTTCCCTCTCTGCGGCTGGGAGTGAGGTCAAGCTGCCAAGGTTGTTGATCTAACCTTGTTGATATACCTTAAAGTAACCTAACACGGCTATGGAAAACCACCATGTTTCATAGGTACATTAACTATAAATGACCATTTTCAATAGCTATGTTAAATTACCAGAGGGTATGTTGATATAGGTGCGTTACAGTGCATTGCTAATAGTATCAGAGACCTTAAGCATGTGGTCTTGGCCGCTGTGCGACAGTTAGGAAACGATTCCATTTCCTTTAGCAGCTTAGCAGTTTTCCCTCTGAAAAATGGAGTATCCATGCGTATCCCCCAGTCCGAGACAGACTATCATCATACATACCATGACACATGTGCCATTTTTTGTTGGATCTATGATGGCCATTTTTACGAGGCCATTTTAAAACATTTTGAAGCTAGCTAAGTTGGGGTATGATATAGAATAATGAACTATATGGTTTATGGTGATTTAATGGTGATTCAATGGGATCTGATGGGATTTAGACTGAGATAGCTAAGTTGGTGATATAATAACTATATATAACATAAATTAACTATATGGTTATGGTAGATATACCTGATGTACCCATGGGTTTCTAAACCAGATCACCAGCTAACCAGACCGCGAGGTCACCTCGTGGCAATAGACTGAATACTTTAGATCCAGCTTTCCGTTTGCTGTTCTGTCATAGAGTTAGAAAGTAAAGACCATCAAAGAAACCAGCTTCTTCATCACTAGCGTTCCATTGGTTTTGGATGATTTTTGCGGTTTAAAGTGTAAAACAGACACGAGTTTGGATCTAGCGTTCCATTGGGAATATGCAAAAGGAATTACTTAGGTATGACTTCTTGGAAATTGCGTTTACATGGGCCGAAGGGCTCCGATCAGAGCTAGGATGACTCAAGTGACTTTGTTGTTTACCTGTATAATAAGTATCATATAATAGTTACCATTATTGGTTTATAAACACCATCAACTATAGTAATAAGCATCATACACCGTAATTATTGGAGTTATGTTCACCAACTTAGCAGGTTCCGAGTGACGTTGTCCTACCACATGAGCCTTTTGTATCCTTTTGTCGCTTCACCCGAAACAACGGCAGTGGATGATTTTCTTGTTGAAGACAGGGACAATGAGAAAACCATGGTGGTTTTCCCACAAGTGGGGAGATCTACTTAGATGAGCCATGGAGTTAGTTAACTAGTTAGTACATGGATTATAATTGGGATATTGGGGGTTATAACCCCAGATACTAACCAGGAATAGCTAATCCTATGGCCCATCTAAGTAGATTCCATGAGAGTGGATTATAACTTTTAGCCGACAGTTTGACAGAGTTTTGACCAATGCAGGAGAATTGGGGTGCGTCCACTACCTGGTGTTATCTACAGTATGTCAAATGTACCCTCTGGTTATTTAACATAGCTATGGACAATGGCCCATTTGAAGATTTTGTCCCATTAAAACCTCCATTTATAATGGATTTTCCATGGCTATGTTAAATAACCAGATGGTATGTCAGCTACAGTTTGTAGTGTTGGATCGCATACTCTAAAGACCCTGATTTGGCTCACAGCTATGAACACCATATGAAAACCTTCAACTCGTTTTTTCTCTATTCCATAGTTGTTCATGTTATCAGTTTACCCTATTCCATCCCCCAATAACCCCCAATTATTAGCCAAGAAACTGCGTTTTGGTACTGCATGCATTTTTTCCGGCCCATATAGAGGTGTCCTAAATTGGGGGGGTACCCTCCAGTCCTCATGGACGGGGGATCCAACGATATCCAACGCTTCGCAGCTTCGCAGCTTCGCATCGCATGGCAGGCATCATTTTGCCTGACCAAGCATCCCACCTCTGCCACCAGTGCCACGGGTGCGCGGTGCGTGCGATTTCTGTAACGACATGGTGGGAAAATGGTGATTGAAAGGGATGGAATTGATGTTTTGCTGTGGGTAAAACATTATAACCATTCCCCAGTCATCATCAGTTTCAAAGGTGGTATAAACTTACCATTCCCAGGACACTGGGTGGTAAACATGACATTGTTTGACCCACATGTTTTTTGGGGCAGAACTACAGTTATGGCCCTTTATACCAGTTATAAGTACTAAGGAGTCACCCCATTTATAGAATATATAATCCCACTGAAATAACCAGTTATAACTGATAAATGGCCATAACTGTACAAAAATCAACTATATATAAACCATCTATAACCATCCAGAACCATCTTTTCACTGGTTGGTGCCCTTTATTCCATACGTTTCATATGGAACTATTTCTTTACGATGGGATTGTGCCTTGAAACCTCGCCATGGAACAGATGGCTAGCCTCGATGGTAACCAAAAGCCGGTTTCAACTACTCGCCATGGTGTTTCTCAGCAAGAACAAGAACAACAACGAACAAGGCAAAATACCCTCCTGTAAACTAACATAGATGCGGAATATCACCATGTTCTATAGGTAATTCAATGTAATTCATCTATAAATGGGCCATGTTCATCCATGTTCCATTTCTATGTTAGTTTACCCCAGGGTAATGGTTGATATCTTGACCGGACCCCAGCAGCAGCGTTTTTTTAGCACCAGCAGGTCTGACGGCTTTTGGAGTCTGTCACCAAGAAGACGAGGTGTGGCACCCGAGCGCTGATTCGTATGATCAGTTCCACGTTTTTTTTGAGGGGATTACAGTTATGGCCCGAAATACCAGTTATAAGTACTAACAAAACCCCATTTATAGAATGTATAATCCAACTGAAATAACCAGTTATAACTGATAAATGGCCATAACTGTAAAGATGATTTAACTATGAAACATTGTGATTTATTGGGAGTACCGATGTTTTTTTTAAATGTTTGTAAACGTCTAACTGATTCAACTATCCAAAAATTGTGGTTCGTCTTGGGATTGAACCATCAAACATGAAGGTTTTTACCAGCAACACCATGGAATTTTCACATGGATTTACAGCCAGACATGAGAATTTTGTAGATTGCTAGATGAGATGATCCGCCACTTGGCCATGGACATCCCATTCCCCCGTCAACCTTGGCTACTTAGATGGGCCATGGGATTAACGATTCCTGGTTAGTAACTGGGGATTTGTTACCCACAAAATATCCCAATTATAATCCACCACTAGCAGTTTTTTTCCCCTCTTAAAGAGGTTTTTCCTGCTGTCAGCCCGCTCAGCCCAATGTCCGGCTGTGGGAATGCTGAGGGATGTCAAGGATCTTCCTACCACGTACCACATTAGAAGGACCAAGACATGACCAGCTTGCTGACAGAGCTGCGACTACGAGTCAACACATTCCTCGACACATTACGTCGTGCTGAACTGGAGGAGCAGGTACTTTGCTGGTGATGGGCTAGCAATGGAACAGTGCAGTAAAATCCATGTACAAGCTAGTTGACCAACTCCATGGCCCATCTAAGTAGATCCTTGAGGGTACATGATTTGTCAATAATTGGTGGCTTGGAACATGGAAAACCATGGGAAAACCGAAGGAAAACCATAGGAAACCCATAGGATCTGGTTGGTGGTTTGGAACAAGCCGCGGGGCCCAAGCCACCTCCCAGGGGTGCGGCTGGGGCAGCTGAACGGGGGCTGTTCCGTCTTGCACGTTAGGCATGGCTAGGACGTTCTTCCCCATGGACTTTGGTTGTATCACTGATGGCGGATCCATAGACCTTCTTTGCAAGATGAAGATCTTCGACATATCCCATGGAAAGCATGTTTTGGTGACTGAACCCAATGGTATTTCCTTTGTCTACACTGGACTTTTGGAATATGGCCATGAAGCGTATACCCTTCTGGATGCTGAGTTGGTTCGACAGTTTCCTGAACCTCACGTCAGGGCCTCCCGTTTCACCCGTGTGATGCATCATGACCCACCATCGTGGGACAAATTGCACGACCTCATTGATGTATGCTCGGGCTTCGGAGGTATGGCCCAGGGAGCTCATGCCGCCGGTTTCTTTGTGAAAGTGGCAGTTGATCATAACTCGAAGATGTTGTCTTTGTTCCAAACCCAATTCAACTGTGATGTTGTCTTAGGAGATGCAGGTGCACATGAAGTCATGTACAACACTTGGCATGCGTCACGAGGCGCAGCTTGCATGTCTGCAGGGTTTGCCTGCCAACCATACAGTCAATTAGGAGACGGAAGAGGCAAAGATGATGAAAGGTCGTCATGTCTGTCCAAAGTCCTGACCATGGCCTTTTTTCTCCGTGTCCATGTTTTGGTTTTGGAATGCGTTTCACCAGCAGCTCAGAACGACTTTGTGAGGAACGAACTGGCTCACTTCATGCATGCCACCGGCTTCACTTGTTCTCAGTGTGAGCTCAAATTGGACATGGTTTGGCCATCCAGGCGAAGCAGAGCATGGTGGGTCTTGACGTCACCACTTGTGGGCCCAGTGAATTTACAAACATGGCCGAAGCTTGATGATGTCACTCAGGTTCAACATGTGATTCCCTGTGTCTCCTCGTGGGACCCACGTGATGAGCTGGCTTTGTCGTTGAATCATGATGAATCAATTGCATTTGGGTTGACTGATGGTACATTCACCAGGTTTCTTTTGGATGCGAAGGGTGTTGCGCCTTGTGCATTGCACTCTTGGGGAAATCAACTCACCGCATGCCCGTGCGGGTGCAGAAGCCATGGACTTTCGCAGCATATGGCTGGCAACAAAGGGTTTGTTTGGAGTGTTGATCCGTAGTGCACCCGACAGGCAGGGATTCACTTGTATCAGGCATCTACACCCTAGTGAGGGCCTTGCATTGAACGTGATGGATCCTGTCATCGACTTCGGCCTTGACGTGAGGCTGACATTGTGTGCCTTAGGACAGCTTGCTAGCCCAGTGCAGGCTTTGTGGATCTTTGGGTCCCTTGCAAGCCACCTTGACAATCGCCAGTTTGGCCAAGTGCTGTTCTCGCCAGAGGCTCAGATTCAGGCCTTTCGGTCATGGATTCTCATGCGTTGCCGCCAGGTCTGGCAACCCGAGGTAGAACCAGTGGTGAATGCCAAGACGGTATCCTTGATGGGTTTTTGGAATGAGTTCGCAAGCCTGTCATTGCCTGAACTGATGTACCTGCAGAAATGGGATGAGTTGCAAGGATGTAGCCTCAGTCTTGCCGCCATTTTGGATGCCATCATCCGTGACCAACAATGTCAAATTCCGAAGTCTCCTGGTTTTCGAGAGGACATTATGGAAGGCCAAGTGGAAGATCCAATCCAAAACGATGATGCCATCACACCTTGGTTTGATAGCCCTGAGATCACTTCCCCGATGAAGGTTGAATGCCAGCCCGACATTTGCCAGGCCTTTTTTCCGGACTGTGACCAGGTTCCTGTCCGGTGTGCTATCTCTCAGGGTTCCCAGGTCGGTCAGTTGATTGCGGCTCAAGAGAAATTGGTTGGGTCCATAGGTCCAGTTACTGTTGTTTCTGCCATTGGAACTGACCTTGCCCATTCACATGAACTTGATCTTGGCTCAACATTCATGGTTCGTGCCCAGGCCCAGTCTGGCAGTGAAAGCAGTGATGTTCATGTTGGTCTTGATCCAAAGTGTCACGCACCTGTGGTGATGCCATGTGCAAGCGGCCCCATGCCGCTTGCTGGTCAGTCATTCAAAGCTGAAGGATGTTGGGAATGCGGGCCACTCCCGAAATTGCCCGTGCAAGGTCCTTTTGCGGCCTTTCAACAGGAGATTGCCCATCCTACTCCCTCCATACTGAATGATTTTCCGATGCCAGAAGTTGCTGATATCAGGGTTGAAACTCAATGTGAGGCGCGAGTGAAAGGACATGACACTGTTGGTTTTGTTGACCCGCAATGCAAGCCGACACTGATTGAACCCACAGCTACGTGGTCGTAGCCAATCATTGATCCCAACCCTGCACCTGCGTCGATCGCTTTGCCTGCTCTGACAGAGCCCATCAGAAGTGCAGGGGTTTCTGAGGTGCCAGACTGTCCGGCTAGCATTGGTGTTGGTGCTGCACATTCCTGTATTTCCGCAGCCCCTTTGATGGCATTGCAATCAGAACAGTTTGTCGATTTGACACCACCGTGTATCAACTGTTTTGACCACCTTGATGCATTGCGGAACCAAGTTGTTCTTGCTGCGGATCGTGTTGAAATTCTCAACAAACAGGGTGATACTTGGGCTGATGATGAAATCAGGTTTCACCTCCTGTGCTTGCAACAAAAAGTTGCCACATCGCCTGCTCCCTTGAAGCCAGGGGTTGCCGTGCCGCTCATGATTGACCCATTACTATGTGCGTCCTGGATGCGAAATCAGGGTTCCATGTGTGTCCAATGGTGCCTATCTCATCCAGAAGTTGCGGCGGCAGGTGTTCAGGTTATTGCGTGTTTTCGAGTGGGTACCCACTGGATTCCGGTCTGGTTTGTCCCCATGAAAGACCATGTGCACATCACAACATGGGATGCCAAGGCAAACTCTCATGCTGATCTTGAACCCTTGTTGGAACGAATGGGTTATGCATTTGGTTTCCGCAGTGTGATGATCAACCGACAACAAAGAATTTTCTTCAACTCATGCCTGTGTGGTTCCTTGGCTATTGCTTTTCTTCACCATGCCTTGTTTGACTCAATGCTCCCAACAAACCATGATGAAGCTGCTTTTCTCCAAGCGCGTTTGAAACGACAGTTTTTTGACCATGTGCAGAGTCAACAGGCGACTGTCAGGCCGTGGGTATGGGGAAATGGAGATGATGAAGAGTCTGACCAGGTCAGTGAGACAGCAAGCCCTGAAGCTGCAGAATCGGCTGGTGGAACCAGTTTGTGCCCTGTTGCGAGTGGGGAACCGTGTGGGGAGACCAGTTTGCAGGTTGACTTGTCAAGATATGAAATTGATTTTCCCCCAACTTGTATTGGCCTTGGTCGAGAAGGAGGGTTTGCGCACAGATGTATCACTGCTGAAGAAAGAATCCAATTGATTGTCAGTAAAGGCCAGGCTATGGCTGACGATGAGATCAGATTTCATGCCATTGAATTCCTGCAGGGTGACAGCGTTGCGGTTGGAATGAACGATGTGGGTGCTTCGGGTTTTGCTTTTCTTGACCCCCTCCTTTTTAGCACTTGGGACTCAGTGGGAAAGAACATGTGCATCCATTGGTGCCAACACCACCCGCAGATCAAAGAGGCCAACCATCAAATTGTTTCTGCAATTAATTTTGATGAGCATTGGATGCCTGTGTGGATCACGGCTCGTAGTGACGTTTTGCAAATGCATGTGGTTGACAACTTCCATGGTATGTTCCCGCTGCTTGAGGACATTGGCAATACCTTGGCAGTTCATTTGGGTTTCTCGGAAGTCGTGTATCATTGGATCCCAGTTGGCTTTCCCCAAGATGAAATGTGTGGTGCCCTTACAATTGCATTCTTGGGGCACATCATTGCCAAAGAGCCATTACCACAGACACAGCGTGAACTGCAGGATTTGCATGTTAATCTCCGAGCAGCATTTGTTGAAGCGGTTTACACATCAGCATGTTGCAGATGCCCGGTTGTATGGGGTCGTGGGCCAGGACCACAGTGTCGTGAGCTTGCCAGCGAGCTCCTTAAACATGGAGTTCCAGAAACTGAGGCTGAAAATCGAGCAGC